ATTTTTCAATTATATTATTTATCATCTGACAGAAAACATAATTAAATTAAATAAAAACAAAGTTGTGACTAAAGACATAGAGACTTTCATTGTCCTGTTAAAACTTTTTTAATGATTTCATACAGAAAGATTTTCATATTTACAGCTCCTCACCTGCTAATCGCTGCACCAGTGTCAAGATGGCAGCCATCCTTCAGTTATCACAGTACTGTACCTTCGATGGGGACAGCATCAGCACTGTGATAACTGAACCAGGGCAGCCTGTCAAGTCTGGAAGCATCGGTGACCCCACTCCTTTTGTCATCGCCATGTTAGTCAGCACTTTGCACAACAATAACACAATATAACACTGTTTGTTTGTTCCTTTTAATCTGGACCATAAACAACACAAGTAGACAGAATAAAAGCAGATATTTACATATACATATTTCAGAAGATAAGAATTGACCCTTGAGCTATACCCAAGTGATAGCGTCAACATATATCATATTCACGTCAGAATATTTGAGCATTTCAAAAGTTTTTATTCAAATATTAATATAGAAGTTAATATATCAAATTATATATATATATATATATATATATACTTTGACTATCATTTATTTTATATATTTGTACAGAGCAGGACAAATATATAGAATAAATATAGAATTTGAAAGTAATCAATAATTTTTAAAGAACTTTTTTTTAAAATTGTCATTAGAACATGTCTTTTTAATGTATGTATTCATCTTTACGTTCCTTTATTATGCCACAGCGAGTATGTGCTACTTTGTTCTCTTTATTCTTTAACTAATGTTAACTTTAAATTACATTTTTGCTGATATGGGAATTATGTAAATGAACTTTCCAAGCCTAAAATAGTTTTTATCCTATTTTACCTTTTCTCTTGAGAATTTTCTAACTCAACCCCACGATTTTGAAGGACAAACTTGAGAAATATTCCACTAATTATGAGTTCAGGTATCATTCAAGGGCGGGGCTTAGAAGGAACAACAGACATTCGATAAATAGCACTATGAAGGACTGTATGATATACTAACTAAACATATGCATACATAAAAATGTAAAGACGTGAACAGAAGCCTCATTAATGTTTTCACTTCATGTAAAACTAAAACATGTAACGTTTCATTTCCCCCCCTCCCTGCTTCTCCCTACTCTTGCAAGGCCCACAGACAAACTACTGTGTATTATTCATACCAACCACAAGGCTGAGTGACGTCAGACTTGTTATGATTCTCGTCTAGGGCTCCGCCCCTTCCTGGCGCGAGAAGCATCTGGAGCAGTCGGCGCGCGGCGCTGGCCCACGTCGCGGCCCCGCCTCCCTTCTTCTTCGGTCCGCCCTCCTGCACTTCATGTAAACAACTCCATTAGCCCCGCAGCACAGGGTTCTGGCCAAAACGCTTCGTGTCAGACGAGGGCAACGAAGCCAGCATGTGCAATAACTAAAACAGCGCGAGGCATGAAGCACACTGTCAGGGTTCGGTACAGCACAACATTCTCACTGTCCTCAGTAGAGAGAGACCCTGTGATGGAAGCGCGTCCGTGTTGCGTAAACGCTCCATGTAAATAACAGAAGAATAACAGTCTCTTAACAGCCACTGTAAAGCAACCCCTCTGTGATACGTGTACTAATAATAAGCAAACTGCTTAGGCTTGTTGCTGCTCTCTATTAAAAAAGAAATAAAGATGTCTAAATATAGGTTTAGCACTGTTGCTTCTTATAACTACGCGACAATAACAATATTTTCAACTATTCCAACTAAATGCTAAAGAGCGATTAAATAGGAGTACAACGCTTGCAGTGAATACTGTGGAGCCAAATGTTAACGCCCAACATTGCACACACACCCCTTTTTTTCTGAGCAAAAACAAAACGCATGCGGTTCGATCCAAATATATAAATTTATTCCTAATTACGCTCAACTTCCTTTAAATCTGTAGCACTGAAGGAGCAAACTTACCTGCAGCCCGCTGGTTTAATTCCCCGTGTTTACATGAATAATTTTAATGACGCAGCAAGACCACACAGAGCAACGTGATTGTCGCCATTTTTTGTTGTTATTGAATTCTTCAAAGCCATGTGACAAAAGAAAAAAAAAAGAAAAAAAAACGTATCAAGATTTTAGAAGAAGCTTCCGATCACAGCGGGAAGAACTCGTTCGAAGAAAAAAGGTTAATCTTCCGAGTTGTTTGTCTGATGGATTAGTCTGGGTTACTCCACTGACTGACGACTGGAGGCTGTGCGCAATATTTGACAGCTTCGGGACGCTGCCGCCGCCGTATGGCTCGCAACAAGTACTCACTGGATTCCTGCCGTCCGCAAATGACATCCGACTCATGCTTCGGTTTTTTCCCCTTTCTTTGCGCCTCCTGTTTGCAAAACAGCAAAAATAAAAATCCACCGAGTTTATCTAATAAAATCCCTGATCTTGTGAAGACTCTGTCAACAAGTGGCAACATCTAAGAAAAGCTGAGTTTCGGATAGAATCCTCAATTTACTGTTTAATTACAGGTGCATCCTAATAACAGAATAATGTGAAGACTAAATCGTAAAACAACTCGTCTTTCAATGATTATGGGTTGAAACCAATAAAATAAAATAAACAGACTTAGAAAATAAGAAAACATATAAATCATGGCATTCAGAATTAGCAGGAAGACTGCTGACATTGCAGTTGTCCTGTTCATAGACACTAACAGGTCCATTTTTGCAGATGCTTGCAGAGTGATATAAGAATATCTATGTAAAATTGAGTGGAAGAAAAACATGTAAAAAATGATACAGCTTGAAGAGGATTGTGAAACAAAACTCTTGTAACAAACCTTCACACGTGTTCAGAAGCCACCACAGAACTACAGCTGTGTGGGTCTTGAGACATTGATTCTATCTCCAGTTGCTTTTGTATGTCCCAAAAAACTCTTGAATGTGCTTCCCTTTATAATTCTCTCAAGGCTATACCTGTTGCCTGTAAATCATTATAGATGGCAGTTTATCTTTCCACCTCCCATTAATAGTCCAATATCCATCACTCTGAACTACTGGCTGCTTTAGCAATGATCCTTTCCAAGTTAGCTTTTTTTGGCCTTCTCATTGTGGAGGTCGAATTATCACGGCCGGAAAACTGTCAAGTTTACATTCTTCAACATAAACCCATATTTGAAAGTCATAATAACATTAAAAAATGTGTTTTTTGAATTTCCTAACCTGTGGTATTCTTACATTGACAGCCCGAAACTTTAAACTTCTGCAGACAGCAAAAAAGATAAGCAAGCATATTCTTTGAAAACCTCAGAAACCCGCGATTAAATATCACTAATATATGTCTCATTGCATTATTTTAAATCTATTTCAATTATAAAATGAAACCAATGTGAACTATTTCAAATTAGTTTTTCAAAATCATAAATAAATAGAAAAGTTAACTCATTACTAATTACAATCTGTGTGAAGTAAAGGGTTCCCTGCTGGTTTAATGGCCCTAAACAGAAGCTTACATTTTTGCGTCAGGCCAGCTCTGTTTAATGGTGTAATCTATAATTGATGAAACAATTGTGGAAGAAGTTGTGTGCATTTATTGGAACCTATTTTTTTATGGAGAAATAGATTCTGCCCTTGTTTTAAATGTCTATAAATGTGACTTTGAATTAAACCGTAAGACCCCCTGCACAAGCTCTGGAATCTGTTTCATTTTGTTTCTAATTATTGATATATGATCTTAATTTCAAACCTGAAGCCCTGTACATGTAATAACAGATTAGAGTTACCTCAAGAAAAGTTTAGACACAACATTTTGGAGAACTGTGTAATAAAATTTCACTTGAATTTAAAATAAAAGTTATTTGAAAACAAACATTCTGTGGTGCATCAGACAACTTTTATGTGTATGTAGGAGCAGCACCTTATCTACAGCTGTACAAAGGAGCATTATCTTAGATTCTTCCCCTTAGCAGCTTTTAAGACTTTATAACTGTCACTACTACCAACAAACTCAATACGTGTTTTCATCTTGACTATTATTTTCACAGTTTAATCATGACAAATAACATTCAAATAATAACAGTCTGAGAGGTTTTTATTCATAGTTCTATGTCTTTCTTACCTTTGTGTGAGTCCTCATGATCCCACTGACCTCTGATTGCACATTCACTTGTATTTCCCCACTCTGGAGCAGTATTCTAAATTATGTTATTGTTGCTAAAATACTTATATAACAACAGTAGTAGTACTATTAGTTTGAATCAATTCATCGTAATTTAATTGCATGCTAAACAAGATTTAACAAGACAAAGCAAAATTAAAAACCATAAAATAGAAAACAAAATTATAAGACACAGAATAACCTGAACTATCAAAGGGATTGTAATATTCAAAATTTTAACAGTTTGATGCAGAAAGATGTGTATCAGTGTGGTGGTTCTGCTTTTGATGTTCAGGGGGGATGTTGTCAAGTAAAATATGTAAATTTTACTAAACAAACCAGAAAAATAATCAATAACTTTGTTTGTCGCTATTATTGTGATGTTATTTCCTGATGTTCTTTTAATTCTTTTTTTTCCCATAAAACCAATAATTTTATAATTTTTTAAATAACTGTATTATTTTTCAAAAAATAAAATGTATAATAAAAATATGTTGAAACACCTGCGGTTACCTTCTCTTTCACTTCCTGTTGCCAATACGGCGTTCCAGTGACAGGAAGTGACACAGACAGTACAGGAAATGTTACGAAGTTTTTTTTTTCTGCCATTGTTTACCTCTGGTTACCTCTCTATTATGTCTTATTTGGCGCTTTCGCGCTCGATTTATTGTGTTGCTATGTTACATTTAAATGTATGATTTGTAAAAGCAATTCAATCACCTAACTGTCTTTTATGTGTAAACTGTTTCCACTGCATTAAAAAACTACAGTAACCAGTTTGCCTAGCGAAGTAAACCCATCCGCATTTTTCCTGGATGATGCGCGCAAAAAAATAGGGCGTTGTGAAGACTCTCATTCATTCGCGGAGGACTACCTCTGTTCTTAAAGACGCAGGGAGCGACCCACGTCCACAGGAGTGAAAGAAGGAAAAGGAAAAAAAGGCGTTTTGACTTCATTCCTGTCCAAAAGGGGAACAGTTCCGCTGCACGCTAAAAGCAGTGCGTAAAGATCCACACGGTTCCACTGACAAGCTTAAATATAGTTCCAAACCGTTGTTTTTGTTGTTCAAGTGTGCAGCAGAATACAAATTACTGGTACTTCTGGTGCAAACCTAAATCTGTAGCATCTTCTACACTTATTTTATTTTGTTTTTTTTTTACTTTGGGAACTCTTTGTTATTGTAGCAGGATATGGCCAAGCTTTTACGTGCTGCTGTTTTGGGTCCACCGGGATCTGGAAAAGGCACGATCTGCAAGAGGATTGCACAAAGCTTTGGCCTGCAGTACCTGTCCAGTGGCCACTTTCTACGAGAGGGGATAGCAGCCAACACAGGTAGGAAAGCCAAAACAACACTTAAGTGGTGACAACAGGAAAAGCCTACCCAAAAATGAGTCATTTTATCTGGTCTTTCGCAATGTGGGGGTGAGGGGTCTACTACAATAATTATATAATTTTTCAAAAAAATTAAAAAAACAATAGGGCAGATATTGTTAAAGGAAACGTCAAAATAATAATAATAAAAAACTTTAAGGGGTCATACTCGTTGTGTGTTTTGCTTGTTTAAGAAGAAATGACCACTTGACTTAATAGCTGCAGGAAGTCTGACACCACAGCAGCACTCAAAACAATATAAAAAACAGATTGATCATTCTGGTGTTCACAAGACTTCATGGCAGCTTGTTGCCTTATTTAAAAATGTAACACTCTCATATTTTGAATTAACTTTCCACCTAGAATTGCCTCAATTCCAAAAAAAGTATAAATAATACGACACAAAAGTTTGGCATAAAGAACTGAAGAAAGTTTTGATCTTTCTTTTTTTTTAATTCTGGGACTCAGTGGAAGTATTAATGTAATAATCCACAGGAGACCCTGCAGCTTCCATCATATACTTAAAAAGGTTGCAGTGACAGGAACAGAAACTGGTGAAGAACCCAACAGGCTCGGCTCTATCTTGTCCTGCTTTTTCCCCCCTATCTTTCTCTTTTGTAATCTTTGACATCAGGACGCATAAACAAACATGCTGTGCTCTATGTTTACTTGGCTGTCATGTGTCAGAGGCTGGCGTGCTGGCAAAGACCTACATAGACAGAGGCATGCTGGTGCCTGACCAAGTGATGACCAGATTGATGCTGCCCAAACTGGAGCAGCTGCAGAACCACAGTTGGCTACTGGACGGTAAGAAAGCTTATGTTTTTGCCACTTTTGCTTCTGCTTACTCAATTCCACTGCTGCACAATGGGGGGGGAGGGGGGGAAGCAGAACTGTACATAACCGTTTCAGTTTTTAGTCATGATTCATTGTAATAAAAGATGTTTTCTGGCATGCACCCTGAAGGTAGTTGTGAGAACTGCCAGCTAACCCTTAAAGCTGATTGGCCCAACCAAATGCCACCCCTCAGAATCCTACAGTGAATTGCAAATTTATAAGTAGGACCACATGCAAACACTTAATGAACAAGTCTGACCATGGAAATTGCCATGGAAATCTGAGTCATTGTGTAGAAAAGTTTATTTAAATTAAAATATAAAAAAAATGTTAGCAGGTTTAATCATGTCTGCGCTTGTAAAAATAACAGTGTCGATAAAGACTAACTGACTTAACTAAATTACACATAGCCCCTTGTACCTTTGATGTTTTGACAAAGCAGTAATTATTTACAGTGCTGGCTAGAAGAATATGTTTTAACACAGAAAAAGTAGATCCATAGGAAAAGAAGAAAATAATGTTTGGCTAGTTTTATTTCCAAACTTTTTTATTGAATTACTATTGCAATGAATGTGTCTCATATTGTACCCATTCAGTTGTTAATTTACCTGGTTATGGAGTGCTGCACTTGTGACATTTTTTGAGCTGGATTTGAACTTCATAACCCCTCAGGAACCAATGCAGCCTTAAACTTTAATGTTTACTTTCCAGTCCTTCTCAGCTCAGATGAGGCTTTTCAGTAGACTTTTTTTCTGTTCTGTTTTTCTGCTCTGCAACCTGTGGCTCGAGGGCCACATTTCCTTCACAGCAGCTCTTTGTAACTTTGGCCAATAATGTTAAAGATCTGAGAAATGTTTTTAAGAAAGGCTAGTTCTTAGGGCTTCGCTGTGTTTTTTTTAAAAATTCTGTATATTTGAATAAGATTTGCTAAATAGACCGGCACTCATGCTAGAAGGACTTCTTTTTAGTTCTTTCATTTTGTCATCATTTTGACAATAGTATTATTCAAAAAATAATTTTGTTGTGTTATTTTAAAAGTTTGAAAATATTATTTTTGTAAAATCTAAAAGTAGATATAAAGTTGCACTTATAAGCATATTACAATGTTACATATATATTAATAAAATTCAGTGCAGGTAAAATTCCTTGACACCTTGCTCAGACAGTTCATTTCCCAGGACAGTAAAAGAGTTTCTCAAACTGTAGTGATTATTGATTATGTATTCCAGTTATTTTTGACTTTTGCTTTGAATTGTAAGCAGCCAATCCTTCTGCAGGAAATATCAGGGTTCCTATCCAATATGAAAGAGTCTGGAATGTAATTTAAATGTTTTTTACGGCAAAGTGTTGAAAACAATTAAAAAGGAGTAGGGAGACGTGGGTATTTTTGTTACTCGTTATTCCCTGACTAGTCATGTTGTCAGACTGTCCATCCAACATCAGTCATTTTGCTAACTGATTGTGCATTTTTCTTTCAACTGTAAGCAAATTCATTTGTCCTTTGACCCTTTGATCTTTTATTCATTCCTTTCTGTATCTGGTTCAAACAGATTTTATGTGTAGAGTCTGATTACTATTAAAATTCAGTGAGTTCATATTAACACTTCGTATTTATACTTTTAAAAAGAACAGTGGAATCTGGGAATTGTAATCTAGAAAAGTATGGAAACTTTAAATTTGAAAACCAACTTTCTGAAAGTATGTTAAGGAAACAAAATAGGTGACCTTAATCGTAACATCTAAATCCATGCAGCTTAAATTTATTAACATATATTTATGTTCATAAATATATGTAAAAGATTCCTTGTTGATGTGTCACAACTCTTGTTAAATTGGGCTTGTCATAATGGCTGGGTGTGGTGAAGCGTTGTTCATCGTCAATACTGGAGAAGTAACCTGGCTCATTGTTTTAACTTACTTTGCGTGTGGAACCACACACACACACACACCCACACAAACATACACATAAAACACACCCAAAAGAAAAGAGGTTGCTATGACATTTCCATTGTTAAACTTTACCGTCTGTGGTGGAAAAACTTGCAGAACATTGATGAAATAAACTTTAATGTTTAAACATTGGATCTTGAACATAAACAAGTAAACAATTAGTCGAGAGAGGAGACAACTCCAGGTCAGAAAAACAGAGATGAATTTTACTCATTGAAGATGATCTGATTTCCAATGCCTACAGTGTCATATCAGTATATTAGAACATCAAAGTAAAGTGAATGTATCTATTGAAAAGTTCAGAATATAAATTCAAAACTATTATTGTCATATGCACAATAAGAAAAAAATGTTTCCTTATAAAATAAAATTAATCATTTCTTGACCACATTGGAAACCAAAAATATTACATGTAGATATAAAACAGATAAGTAGAAATATAAACTGCGGAATACACACAGTGTACACATTTGTTGCAGATAATGTGCTACATAACTTAGTTTAAAACAGTGAGTAGTGCATTCACGACTCAGAGATTTCTGTTGTTTTAGTTTATGGTCCATTAGCTTACAGCTAAAGGAAATCAGAACTGAAAGTGGAAGAATGCTGACTCGACAATTATCCAACACAGTCATTGACTTCCTCAACATTGAGGGTAAGACTCGAATATTCATCACCAATGAAGCTGGCTGTTCATAATCCAAACATATAAGTGGAAAGTTGAGTGGAAGGAAAAGTATGGTTAAAATAGGTAGGCAAGTTCCAACTCGTCGTTCAAAGAGCATGGTACCGCTGTGCTTGGTTAGTCATCAACCTCATTCCAACCTGAACCCTGCGACCTGTCTGAATCGCCTTTATGCCACATCACGCCTTTATGCCACTTTTTCACTTTTCCTAAGAAAAGTGAAAAAGCATGTTTAGGGAGAGTGTTGCCCTTTAAAACCGCCTTAGCTTTCCTACCTCAGTTGAATGAGGTGCGTGAAGCCTCTTTCGGCTCGACGATAATTCAGACTGATAGCAACCACGACGTTTTGTTTTGTTTATTTTTGTTCGTTTGTCTAATATTTAGCGCTGACTAAATATTAAAGGGAAAAGAAACCACATTTTCATTAACTGTAAGCAATGATCACCAAAATAAACTACATAAATAAAATATCTATGTGATTAACAATAAGTTAGTCTTTTTGAACTGAACCACTGAAATATTTCAACATGTCTTTCATCTGTGAATTTATTAAGCTCTACCTGTATGTTTGGTATAGGAAAACTAAATAAATCTCTGATTTGAAATTTAGGCAGTTTCTCTTCACCTTCCTCAGCTTTGTTAAATTTACAAACTAATTAATTAATAAGATTTGATCAGCTATGTTTTCTTTTTCTTTAGGTTTTTATTACAAATGTATAATTTGTAATAAATATCACAGGTCAGCCACAGGTCAGCCACAGGCCATTTCAGTGGAAATCAGAACACATTGAAAGGTCACGTTTTGTTGTCAATAACAACAAAACTCATCATAGTATGAAATCGTAAAATGAGGAATTACTCACTCATACATAATTTGCCTATTCAAATAGAACTCATAAATCACAACTTGTCAAATGCAGCAGTGAGTTTTGAGCGAAAATAAACAAGGTGTACTGTATGTAATCATAAAACACAGCTTGTAATGACAACTCAGCATTTCTTGCTTCTCCCTCTGAAATGTGTCCAGGTTTCCCCCGTACACTGACGCAGGCGCAGGCCCTCAACAGCCTCTATCAGATGGACCTGGTCATCAGCCTCAACATTCCCTATGAGACTCTGAAGGAGAGGCTGAGTGACCGCTGGGTCCACCCTTCCAGCGGCAGAGTTTACAACATGGGATTCAACCCCCCTCGAGTTCAGGTATCAAACATGTGAAAGTGAGCCCCTGCTGGCAAAGACTCAAAGCCTCAGCTCTAGATGTTGTGACAGCCTGTTGTTTTCTCACACAGATTGTTTCAAAGCTGAAAAGAACTTAGAGTTCATTGTGATTCAGCAAAAACGCTCAAAAAAGGAGGTCGACGGGAGGAAAACACAGCCATAGTCTCATTACTCCTGAAGTAATGCTCACTCTTTTTTGCATAGAGAAATGGTTACTGTAATTCTACAGGTGTTAATGTTCAGAAGTTTGTTCAGAAAGGTTGTACAGCGTGTAATTTTAAAAGCAAGAATTGGTTACAAGGTTAAACTTTATGTGGAATTCTTCTAATTCACAGTGTCAAATATATTCTTACCAACTCAAACATACATATACCTACAAACATACATATACCTACTACTAATTATATATATATATATATATATATATATATATATATATATATATATATATATATATATTATATTATATATATATATATATATATATATTTAAAAAATTCCCTTCTCACCCACCGCGGGTGGTTCTTATCCTCTGAGCTCGGGTCCTCTACCAGAGGCCTAGGAGCTTGAGGGTTCTGCGCAGTATCTTGGCTGTGCCAAGGACTGCACATTTCTGTACTGAGATGTCTGATGTTGTTCCTGGGATCTGTTGTAGCCATTGCTCCAGTTTGGTGGTACATCCCATGTAGGGGCTTGTCCTCCCATGATGGTATCTCTGGTACCTCAACCTCCGTTCCCTGTTGTCTGAGACATTCACTGAGCACATTGTCTGTTGAGGCTTTGTTCCTGATGTATTTATGGATCTTAGTTGTTTCGTCCTGGACAGTGGTTCTCACACTCACTAGTCCTCTGCCTCCTTCCTTGCGGCTCGTATACAGTCTCAGGGTGCTGGATTTGTGATCAGCCGACCACACTTCTCTAGTCCGAATGACATCCCAATGTCAGTGCTGTAGATCCTGGTGGTGTGGATCAGTGAGTCGATGTCTCGCTCACTCTTGGCGTACAGCTTGATGTCATCCATGTAGAGGAGGTGACTAGGCATTCAATGATCCAAGTATGCGGCATTGAGTCATAGGCTTTCTTGTAATCAATCCAAGCCATGCACAGGTTGGTGTGTCGGGTTTTGCAGTCTCGGGCAACTGGGTGGGACTGGACCCTTTGATGGATCCTTCTGGATTAGGATTGTTCGCCCTTCAGTTAACCATTCAGGGTGAGTCCCACTTTGCAGCAGCTGTGATGGTTACCGGGGCTTGCTCAGGGAGGTTGCTGTGGTCCTCTCGTAGAGAGATCAGCCACTGTGCATTGCTGTTGTGGGACGCCTCCCTTTCCCATATGCCTTTCCAGTATTGTTCAGTCTCCAGCCTTGGTGGGTCTGCTCTGTTGTTATTACCCTGCCATTGAGAGTACACCTTAGCTGGTTGAGTGGAGAAGAGCCGGTTAATCCTTCTGGATTCATTCTCCCTTGTGTATCTCTTTAGGCAGCTGGCCAAGGCTTGGAGCCTCTGTTTGGCAGTTTCAAGTGCTTCAGGTATGGGCATCTGCCTGTACTTTCTGGGTACTGGTCTTTTCATTGTACCCTTGTGGAGCTCTGACAGTTGGCTCACTTCCCTTTTAGCCTCTAACCGTCTTTTCCATGGTGGGTATTGGGTCTCATGGTTGCTCTTATAGCCAAGTGTCTCAAGGATCACTGATGCTGAGTTGTAGATCAGCTCATTGGTTTCTGTTATGGTGTTGGTAGGGATCGTTGTCAATGCTGCATTCACATTCTCAATGAGACTGTGGAGGAGGTCTGGTTGTCATTCGGGTCATGATTCTCTCTCTCTGTCTCGTTCAGCTCTGTTTCGCTCATTGGGGCCGTGTATCCCCTCACTGGGTGGGGACTTGTAGTTAAGTCCCCACAGTTCTGACATCCGGGTTCCTCCCTTTTGCCGTATCATTTGTGTTGTATCTCGTCAATCTCAAGTTGTGATAGCAGTTGCCGTTTGCGGATGTTGGAACACTGAGCTACTAGTTGTTTAGCGCTTAGTGTTGACTGGGGATGTCAAAGTAACCATTCCTTCCCCAGTCTTTGCATGTAACCCCTCTCACTAGGGTTACTTGAGTAGTAGCATTCCAACAGATCCACATTTTCATCTCTCGCCCATTTCCGTCTTGTTCCAGTAGCCCATTTGTCATCAAGGTGCTATGGTTCCCCAACACCTGACGCAGACCTTGTTTGGCCGGTCTGATGTAATTTGATGTAATTCTCTGCCATGGAAGATTTACTGTTGCAGCTTTGAATTGTTGTGACCTTGGCTTGTCATCCTCAGGGTAAAGATGACATCACTGGGGAGCCACTGATTCAGCACGATGACGATAAACCAGAGGCTCTGATGGCGCGACTCCGACATTACAAGGAATTGGCGAAGCCTGTTATAGATCTGTACAAGTAGGTTAATAGTTGCTTTTTATTCTGACCAATTTGAAATCAGAATATCTTTGATGTGAAGATTTTAAAGATACTCATATTGTCTGAAAATACTTATAAACTCTTGCTTTTCATACATTTCACTGATGGTGTCATTAGTTACTTAATTCTTACTTATCTTAAGTAAGAATTAAGTGCTTATTCTAATTATTATCACAATAATAGTATTACAGGGAGTTAATTAAAGTGGCAGTATTTTTTTTGTGTGTGTGTGTTTTCCAGACACATAGTGCCATACTCAAGTAACTATGTTAATACCATTTGTTATAAAAAAATACCATATAAAATGTGACTTAAAAGAAATTTTACTTCCTAATTTAACACCTTTAAATTGGGCCTGTGTCTCTTTAAAAACTCCAGCTCTTTCTGAAACTTTGCCTTCAGGAAGCCACTACAACATCACTCCTATTAACCTTATAACAATGGCTTTACCAGCATTTCGTCAAGAAGTAGCTCCTATAATGAGCTCAGCATATGCACAGCTCCACCAGGTGTTTTCTAATTGCTGCTGGCTAGTCTGAAGGCGCTAAGTAGGGGACACTAAGTAGGGGACACTGCAAGGCAGAAGCTCGCTAGTTTGTAAACTGCAGCTTTGAGGAAGAACTTCGTCTTCGACTGCAGTGCTAAGTCTCTCCACGTGTTTTGAAGAGCTGAAATGTTACTGTGGGAGATTAAACAATTTCTCAAACATACATAAAAGAATCAAGGCAACACTCAAGGTATGGTTTTCATGAGGGAATAACATTATAACAAGATGTACAGCTCAAAAAAGTCATTTTTACACAATACTGCCCCTTTTAAATATGCGTCAAGAAATCGACCGGTACCAAACAGATGATTTTCAGGGTGATTCTGCCTGACCAGCAACTGGACAAAAACTTCAAAATATTCTCCTGCAATTCTTACAGTGAATACATCACAGTAAGAATTACCAGGTTGGTCTGGCAACAACACTCTTCAGAATGAATGTTGTTACTGAGGGATGGAGACTCAATGTTAACAACTCAAGTATGAGTAAGATGTCGGAAATGAAGTCATGGGAAAGACAAAGGTTTAGAATATGTTATAAAAGGAAGATTTATTTGAGAAGTGGACATGTGTCTGCAATTTATTTATAATGAATAGCAGACACATTTTAGCATATAATGGTTCAATGGAGTCCAGCAAAGTTGCTCTGCTTTACTTTATCATGCTTTCAGCCTCTATCTTAAGACATTCTGAAAGGAGGCAAAGCTGATGATGAGTCTTGACCAAGACACAACGACTGAGACTGAGAAACCCACCGGTTACAGGACCGACTCCTACCTCCTGTTTTTTGTGTGTGCTTGTTTTGTTTTAGATTTTAGATGTTAGTTGAAGTAAAAAGTTTAGATGTCTGTTTTTTACTTCATCTGGAATATTTTGATACAAACAACCAATTTCTTCTATTTTTTTTTAATCTTCACTCAGATCACAAGGAGTCCTGCATTCATTTTCTGGAACAGAGACTGACAAGATTTGGCCTTACATCAACTCTCTGCTCAGCACCAAGATGCACACACAGCCGTCAGGTGCCCATCCAAACCAAACGCCCTGAGAAGAGACCACAGAGAAAAAAGAGGAAGGGTTTTTTTTTTTACTTGCTCAAGTGAGATTCCAATAAATGCACTAGGACACAATCAACATGTATGATTTTTATGGATGGTTGTGCGCAAATATTTCCAATGCTTTCTACTTAAGATTGCCATGATTTCCTAATTATCACTTTGAAAACATAGGCGCCTCAGTTTTGAGAGAACTGTGTTTTCTTTTTCCTGTAGCTTGTGTGACTTTTCTTATTTTCAATCATACCTGTGTATAAAAGGCAGAGCAAAAAGGTAAATTTTTAATGGCAGCTCAAATATTTTCTATAAACCAAAAATTGAGAGGTGTGATATACACAAGTTACAACAAACCCTTAAACAAAATGCTTTATCAAGGCAGATTTCCAAATTGAAACAGTTTCATTTCATGATGGTTTTTAGTAACCAGGTTAATCACAATTAGCAAACCAAGCCAATAACTGCATACTTTTATTAAGACACTGTTGCAACATTTTTTCTGGCAGTTTAAAAAGAACTTTGTGGCTGATTTATTGAGATACAGAAGCTGATACCAGAGATATCACTGCCTTTCATTTGTTCGGCAGCCATTTTGGATTTTGAGGTGATGACTTGGTGATGCCCCTCTGACTTTCCAAGTAGGACTTCCATCTTCAGTGAGGATTCCATATGATTGCTTCAAACTTTAAACTGGAAAAACTTATTTTTTCCATTTTTGTGCCCCAACATGTGCCTGATGGTAGTTTGTTATGTAACAAAATAACAAATATCCAACGTAAGTCATTGGTTACAAATGTGCTGCCATGTTGTTCAGCAAGTTTTTGACCTAAATGAGCTCTGTGATTCTGTATGCACTTGTTTCAGGGTAAAGCTCTTTAGGTTGTTGATGGATTAGTTTTTCTGGAGGTGTGAAAGCTAATGCCTTGAATGTTCTTACATTTCTTTAAATATACTCTAGTGTTGCCTTACGATTTCTCTCTATAAAGTGTTACATTTTCCTGTTGGTGAATATATGAAAAATGACTTTTTGTTATGATTCTGACACTGTTACAGTCTCTTTGTGGGTTCTTTTCTATGTACTATATCAATTGTCATTGCTGAATATCAATCTTTGCTGCCTTTGCTGTACAGTTACTTGCCATAAAGAACAGATTTGGTTCCATCGGTTTATATTTGCCGTGTATAGTAACTTGGTAAAGTATTCACCAATTTCAGCAGCTGACAAACAAAGATAAGTTTAAATTGTTTCGTCAGTTCTGTGACCTTATGATTCTGCTTTTTAACCAAATGATGAAGTTCCAGCTTGAAGCCTATAAATAGCAGCTTTAAATCAGTGACAGGCTGTAGCAGACACAAAACCTGTTTTTTTTTTTTTTTGTTTTTTTTTTAAATCTATATTTAGGATCTAAGCACAGTGGATTCTGGGTATTTTACTGTATGTTGTCTCTCTTGATTTAGACTAAAGGAAAATAAACTGTACAGTGAGAGCTGACATGGAGCAGCTTACTTAAAGCATAAACCTGGGGGTCTGAAATGAATGGTTGAGCAATTAAAGTGGTGAAACTACAACACAACGCTATATAGCTTTTGTGTAAGGCCACAGAGACATTTCTGCCTTGTTTTCTCATAAGGTGGTTAAAACAAAGACATTTCAAGAACAATAAAACTTTTGTCGAAAGCATGACTTCTTGTGTGAGTAATCAAGTGAATGTTGCAATTTGTGACATTGTTCCTTCCATATGTGTCGTCTGCACACCTAAGCTGATTGTGTTCTCTAAGTAATACTCGACAAACTCATTGATGTTGGGGTACAATAAGTGGAATGATGTAATTCTCATTCAGTGTTTGATTGTGTGCATGTGGTGGATCTCAAAAGTGTACACATGGCTGGTTTTAGTAACATTAGGAACAAAACTACCATGACAAAATGCTTTTGTCTTTAATTGGATATAATAAAAAATGTGCAGTAATCTGGTTGCATAAGTATGAACACCCTTACAATAATAATCCCAGGTTGAAGCACCTATTAATTTAGTTACAGTCCTATCAATTCCAGTGAATTTGATTAATCTACAAAACGTTGCTGTTCTGGTATGATTTCCATCACATTTGTGTCACTTAGCTCCTTTGTATTGGTACAGAGGTTATGCAAGATCAAGAATTTTATCAAATTAACAGAGGTCTGGGGGAGTTATGAATTTCCCTGGTACAATGAATGGTTATCTTGTTCAGTTGCAGTATGTATCAAAAATAACTTTAAAAAGTTTTGGCTGTGCATCATAGGCATATCTGATGTCTCAAAATCTAGAAAGTTGAGGATGAAGAGGTCTTTCATATTTCAGAAATACAGAGACTCCAAGCACACGTCCCAGGGGTGCACCACTCCAGTGCTCGAGAGCTACTGTCCTGCAACTTTTAGATGGATATCTTTTCCAACACACCTGAATCACATGAATGACTGGTTACCATTCATCTTCAAAGTTGAATTCAACCATTTGACTCAGGTGTGCTGGAAAAGGAGTGCATCTAATAGTGGATAGTAGCTCCCAAGGACTGGACTTTGGTTTGTTCATCCGACTTTTGTTTGTTCATGTAAAGAAACAAAAGAACATTAAGTTCTAGTGGCCAAGAAATTTTCTCATAATAGGATTGACTTTGCAAAATACATGTGCAAGCTGGATTGGGCAATTCATAAAAAGACAATAAATTGGTACAAAAAAAGAGAATATTAAAATGTCATCCAAAGTTGCTCCAACAAAATATCACTTTGGGGTGTACATGCTTTTGAAATCAGATTATTGTACCCGATTTTACTTTTATTTTTCAGATTTGTCTGTTTTTCAGTTGAATTGCTCATGAAGTAGGTCAGGTTTGAGGTGGGAATAGTGTTTCTTCCGGAATGCCTAACTGCCTGCCTGCCTGCCTGTCTGTCTGTTCCTCCTCTTCTAATCCGGGGGGATTTGTAAGTAAAGCCAATGTGCTTTAGAGCCTGGGTTAAACTCCACTTCACTGTCTGACACAGATTAAAGCTTCATCTTCTGTGTTTACCTTCCACATGAGGTGCAACTCTGTTTGTGTTTACAGGGCTCAGCTTTAGATGAACACTTTGCTCTAGCATGATAAATTTATGTCAGTACATTCTTTCCAATAAATTTGTCCGTCTTCCGTGTTTATTTCAACCTGTAAATACGACGTATAGACGTAAAAGACTCAACAGTCACAAAATCCAAACTGTCAAAACCTGTCAAATCCTTTACTGCACATAGTGGAGGAAAAGTGTTATTATTTTACTTAATAACAAATAATTATTTAAAAAGCACAATTAAATGACAATTAAACAATAAAGAAAGCTATGAAAATAGATCACAAGACAATCTGAACAAAAAATTATACATCAGACAGACGTCATCAATGAGTGCAGACTTGCATTTATTGATGACATTCTTTCTATTTGAACATAATTTATCAAAAAAATAGTTGAGTTAGTTTGGAAATGACCAAAACTAATACATTATATTCCCGAATTGTCAACAATTATGCTTTGCAAAACTTGTCATCCCAGTTATTTTGCTTAACTCAGGCTCAAACCTCAGGATATTTTAAGACCAACAGAAAACAATCTGATTGGATGAAGTCAACTGAATAGTTGCAAGTCACAGATCTCCAGCAACATCAAGTTTTATTTCAGATGTATGATGGAGCAACCAGAAGGTTGCACTGGATTGTGTTTATGGATATCAAGATAGGAGGAGCTAAGTGCAAATGAATGTCACAGCTGTCATACTTTTTTTTTTTTCCTTTTAGTTGCACAGCAGTTTTTAAATCATTTTTTTGCACTTCTCAAATATTCATTATTGTGTACTGGTCAATCAGAATCTCATGAGATACACGACAAAACAATGGAAAATATCAGGGTATGAAAACTTACGCCATTTGTCAGGTTTCTTTTTGGTTTCTGTCACTAAAATCCACTCCATGTTTTCTTGTTCCAGTCAGGAAGCACAGAGCGCCGCTACTGGGCAGATCCATGAACACTCTAGCCAATGCTGCCCTCTTGCTTTCTCACATCCACATGCGCTATAGATCTGCCAATGGCAGTCCTGTTTTCTGGTCCTGCGCCAAAGACGCGTTTAGCGGTGTGATGATGCAGTAGCTCGGCACCTCCACAGCTTCACTGACAGGTAAAACTGGGCTCCACCTGGGAAATCCCTGCAGAGGTGCCCAGTTTCCACTAGGCTGTTGACACCTTGACCCTTCGGCTGACAGTGAATGACAAAGCAAAGGTCAGTGCGTGTGCGCGCGCGCAGCCGGGATTCAAAGAGCATCTCCACAGCGGCACAAGACGGCGCTCCTGGGAGAATGGTAGAAAACGCTCTGAAAGGTAAAAGTCTCCTTTGGACTGTCAGTTTGTGGTCACCTCTTTGATTTTTTTGATAAGTTTCTGTAAACCCCAGCTTTATTATTTCGCATAATTTCAACGGAAAAGATGAGCACATCATGATCGGAACCTGGATGTTACATAATATTAAGCTCCCCATACAAATCGTGACCACTCACACTCAAAGCGCGTCTTGCGCCCGCACGGCAGTCGCGTTATTTTAATGAACATGCACGTATTTCAAGGTGACATTATGTTATTTTTCTCGAGGCATATAAAAAAAAAGTTGGGACACCCGGGCCTGTTTGGGACGCACACAGCCGGGTTATGGATGACATCATTTGGGATATTTTTGTCACCAGGGTCGATTTTTCTGAACAAATGATCAGTTCTCACAATTTTTGAACCCATTGTGCGGAAATTACTCATAATGTCATTTCAATCGATGACTTGGCTGAAAGAATAGTGGGAAGGCTGCTTCAGACAGTTGGATTTTTTTGACCCATTCGCGCAATCCGTGTTTTCAAGGGATAACTAACAATTATTCATACACCAGTTTCTATGAAAATAGCGACATGAAAGACGTCTATCTTTAATTACTCTTATCGTTGCGGAGAAGATACGTCAGTCGTTTTTCTGATTTATCAGAACCATCGGCCTTATTTATCAGGAAACGCTTTATTCTAAGAGGACAGCTCCTCTTCCGCCGTCCAACTGCGCACCGTCACATCACTGCGCGTCACACGCATCACGTGAACAGTTTAACAGCGCTTGGTTTAGCTCCATGTTATGATCATTACTCAGGTTCGTGACAGGCTTCTTTTTTCTTTTTTTTTTTTTACAACAGAAACAATTACTTTCTTGTCAGGAACGAGGAGCTGAACTTCACTGAAATGCAAAAAAAATCACAAAATGTTTAAATCTTTGGACATTTAACAAAAGTGCAGCAGTGAAACTATAAACAATTAGTTATGACTACAACTATGAACTACACTTACATGCAAAAGCATTCACATTTTTACAAGCTCTAACATATTTTACTATAGGATATTGAAAATAAAATAATGAGCTGCTTGTATTTGTATTGATCCCCTTTAACCTGACACCCTCTAATTAAAATGTACAGAAAACATTGTCTAACATGAAGACTGCAATAACTCATAATTCTACATTTGAGTGTTTGACAGGCGTTGACCTTATCCGTACAGCAAGAGGTAAAATGGTATAGTTAGATCATTTAGCATTAGAATGGGACAGGCAGAAATTTAGTTGATGATCTATTGTAAAACTTACAGTATTATGCACTACTTTTTATTGATCAGTCATGCAGAATCCCGATGAAATACACTAATGATCATGGTGAAGAAACAAAGTGTAAAAAAGTTTGAATTCAACACTGCTGTATACTTTGACAGGGCACTGTGGTGTCGATGCAAACTGTGAGTTTGGAAAAAATATAAGATCTGAGAAGCTAATGCTACAGCTGCTCAGTTCAAGTTTGTTCCTAATCCTTCAGCTGATCCAGCAGATTCCTTGATTTTGTTTTAACTGTTATGTGGATAATCATCAATCCTAAGTCTGTATGGTGGTAAAAACCAGTAAAGACTGTGAGGCATTCAGAATCATTCTCTGTCATGTGTCATAAAGCAATTTCAGTTCCTCAGCATATTTAAAAACTCATAAAGAGTTTATAATGCATGGCCACACTTCCAGGAATGTTGCTCAAATAATTTGCAAATGATTTTCAGTACTTTTCTTCATAAAATGTTCTTTATAAAGGAGATGTGCAGAGCGAAAGACTTGATATTACAAAAGAAAAAACTATTAGGAAGGATTTTTTGAAAGTTTTTTGTAACTAGTAACCTTTATTTTATAGGAGCTTGACAGGAAGTAGGGCAGAGCGAAAGAGAAAAGGGGATGACATGAAGTAAATGGCCCAACATAAAGCAGTCTGATTTGTGTTTCCAACAGCTGTCACAACATGGAAATCCAACTTGTGACAGCTGCATCAAGAACTGTAGTAAATGTTGGTGGTCCACTTGCTCTACCACTTATGCTGCCAGTTTTAGGAAGGATTATATGAGAAAAAGACATGGACTTTCAGCTAAGTGTGGGTAATATAAGATGTAGAGAATGCTCTTTGTAAATCTGAACCATAAAACTTAAACGTGTATCTTAAAAACATGCATCAGTCTGAGGAAAAGGCTTTTAAACACTGGAGAAGTTGCAAAATAATGTTTAACGTCTACCTGTTAGGATAACTTGCAATGGACAACATGTAGCCAATTGGTCGCACTGGTTTACTATTAGTTGTCCGCTCCATAATCATGGTATATTAACTAGCATCTTCACAGCAACAGTGGTACAGTGGTGCCAGCATTATGCTGTGGTGTTTCCTATCTTAAGAAGAAACAGGGGAGCTGGTGGGAAAAAAGATGGACCAAAATACAGAAAAAAAACTGCTGAAGGCTGCAGAAAAGACTCCAAAAATTCCAAAATGCACAAAGCTAAAATAAATAAAATTACCTGCATAACAAAATGTATGTCTAACAAAAACTACATTTGGTAAAAGAAAAACATTATGCTAGCATTTTATTGTTTGAAAAGTTACAACCTCAGGAATGAAAGATTTAAAGGGTGTATTTACTTTTGTAAGACACAACCTCTGCTAAATATTAGTTTGTAAGACATTTTCTAACCATTAGGAAAAATACCTCAAACATTACTTTAATGCTTTCATCACAATTTACACTTTACTTCACAAATATCAGTATACTCAATTACAACAAAGCTAAATGGTAACAATACAAAAGATGAAGGAAGGAAACTAATTATATTTTTCACCTTTCATGGAGCTGCTGCACCTGTTTGTTGCCTGTTCCAAACATGCAGAGTGAAAGGAATAATGGCTACTGTTTGGCACGGTTAGTCACCGGACAGGAAGGTAATTTGCATCAGTGTAGTGGAAGCACGTAGCATCCGGTTATGGAGCGGGAATCCTCCGTTTTGCACATTCCGTTCCCGCTGTGCTTTGAGCCTCCCGTCCGCTCTCCTAAAAAGAGTTTCCCAGGCTCATGTCCTCTTTTCAGAACCATGCAGGGTTTCTGTTGCCAGGGGACAGGGCACAGGAAGGAAGCATGCCATCTTTGGGCTCAGATCGGTTCTGAACTGACCTGGGGTCGGAATAGAAAGATGCACAAATTTACAGTGGCACTCTCTATTTTTCATCCCAATGTCTGTCCATCAGAGATAAATTGTCTCTGACTTAGATTTGAAATATTTTTTTCCAATAATACAGCATATTGTTGTTATCTTGGCATTTTATTCACAGAAAATATGTTTTTAAGAAATCCAGTCTGAGAATTTTAATATACTAGAAATGACAGCAAAAAAAAAAAAAAAAACAACAAGCTGTTACCAGCACATGGACATATATAGCTATAAATTACACAACCCACTTGCAAAATGCATAGAACCACAACTCGAGAAAGTTATTCATATTTTTTTTCTCAACTTTATCTGAGAAAAGATGGAAAATAGTTTTTGTCCAGCTGTCTAAAATATTATTTTCACAAAGTTGATATGCTCTAGCTGTTTTCTCATATTTTATTATTTTAAGAAAAATAATAAAGCTTTACATTGTTTTTTTTTTTTTTTTTAAATTAACCCGTAAAGCCACATGAAACAGTGGGCTCATCCCAGCAGCTGATTGGGGGATAATCAATGCAGCATTGCCGGTAGGGGACCAGGATCTGGGGTGGATTTCCCTTTAACTTGGAGGGCAGCAGCAGCATCAGCAGCCGGAGCTGGGAGACGTAGTGAAATGCGGCGGTGAGAAATAGAGGAGGCGATACAGAGAGAGGAGGGAGGCGAGGGAGCAGAACTACCGATAGCATTTCATATTCTCAGAAAGCAGAGGAAACCGGTTGTCCTCCCATCCTCGGACATGTGCTGCACCCGGCAGCGGCAGCAGTAGCAACGCAGGCGGCGGCGGGGTTTTCCAGCAGCCTTCTCGTCATTTTGAGGCTCCTTTGGTCTTTTTTTTTTTTCTTTTTAATAATTCTCCCCGGCCCCGTCCTTGCGTTCTTCTGTAATGAGCTTGTTGGGGGCTTATAAGAAAAAAACCAGTTACGATGGCTATGAATGTTTGCAGCTGGTCGATAGCGGCGGAGACAGCTTCGGCTTCGGCAGGGGGAGCAGCAGCGGCGGCGGCGGCGGAGGTTCTCTCAGCGGCTCCATCGCGGCCACCCTCGGACCGAAGGCAGGCCCACTGAGAGAGGAGGACTGCAGCACCATGGACAGCTCAGGTAGGAACCCTCGGCGGCCCCCCGGGCAGATTAGATGATGTACTCTGATATGGAGAAGGCTAGAGTAAAGAGTGTTAATGCGGCCTGTCCCGGTGGAGAGCCAGCTAACACTGAAAGTACACGCTGAAGCCAAATGTAGGCTTTTCCTTTGACTATCCTCCTGAAATTAACTTCACATGGCGTTTTAGACACATGTAGCATAACTAAGCTTACATTTAAACAAACACATTTGGTTCACATTTTTATCACACCAAGACTGCAAGAGGAATTAACAGTCATTAAAAAAACAACTACAGGCTGCAAATCAAATTATGAAAACACTTTAAATAACATTTGGTTGTCCCACTCATAAGAAATTATATGAATGCCTATACTAAGAATTGGTCTTAGGCTTCAGAATAGTATTTCAGGATACAAAACGTTAGAAATTGTAGACTGTTGTTGTTCAACGAAGCAAATCAAACCAGCATTAGCTCTGAGAAATATGCAGTATTTAACTATGTAATTAAATTAAATTTAATTTAAAATTTAAATTTAAAAAATCATTTATGTTTATGAATGATGTATATTATGAGTGTCTCTTATCTATTAGAGTGGATTCTAAAAAGTGGGAGTACACGGGGGTTGGGAGAGAGGTTATGCCAGTGGCCACACCAAATAAATTAGAGATGGACTAATCAGGCTTTTTGGCCTAATTAGCCTGCTGCTTTTCACTGATTCACTTCTTTTTTGATTGAAGGAACAGTTTAACACATGAAGGATTTGCAGTATATACACATAGAGATTTATTCTTAACCTGATTCAAATTTCCACAATATTCAAAAACAAAGTCTATCACAGAATATGTTATCTGCTGATGCATTTGTAGATAGCACATAGTGGCAGTTTTTTATAGTAGATAGAGTTTAATTAATTTAATAATAATTAACTGATTAAAGAAAAATCATCAAATTCTTATCTCTGGTTGATTGAGTGGTGCGCCTTTACTAGAAATTTTGCCATCTGTACTGACAGGCATGCTTATATGCAAAAGTGTTGTTGGATGATTTCAGAAAAGTAAATAACCAGTTTGAATCAGTATCTGTATTTAGTTGTTTGAATTTATTTAATTTATTTTATTTACATCTTTGTCAATTTTAAATGTTCGGCACCACCTGACTCTTTCACCTTATCTTTAATATGACAAAAGCAAAATTCTGCTATGGCTTTTAGTTTGGTATACCACCTAAAAACTACTAATGATCCCCCATCTGGACATCCCATTAAAAAATAATCAGACAGGCACCCCTGATCTATTTGACTGACATTAAAATAGACATTTGCATGCAAATCATAGTAGTATCTCTTGGTATTTGCCCCGCTCCCCCAAGAAATGCAGAATTTCTCATGTAAATAAACTTTTCTTATTTTTTGTCGTCTTCAGTAATTGCACAGATGGAAGTATGAATAATCATACGAAAATTGTACCAGATATGCTATTTTTAAAAAATCAAAATGGGTTTAATTAATAATCATTTGAAACTATTGAGAAAAACAACTGGAAAGAAAGTCTTTGCTTTAGCATCTGGTATAGCATTTCTGCAGTGCTGTGTGCAGTGAACCTGCCTCTAGGGATAGATGTTTGTGTGAAACAAAAGAAGCTGCATGAGGAGAGTGGGAGGGTCAGTGTGCCGAGGGGAGTGGGAGTGGGGAGGAGGATAGGGAGGGACCCCTCATGTCAGATGTGTGTTTGGCCTGGCGGGCCTTGCCCACTCACTTATACATAGTCGTTTTGATGTTTGCCTGTGTGTGTGTTTCTGTATCCATCTGCCCCACTTTCACACAGTCGGATATTGAAATCTAAAGGTTGGCTCTCTGGAAGGAGGGAGCCACGTTCAAACAAGCCATTGATCTCTCTGGCAAAGCCAAGAGCTCTCAGCTGACCCGCTCTCTTTCTGAGTGGACAGGCTTCTTTACCTGATGGAGTCGTTATCAGAGCCTGCTCTGGTGTCGGCATTAGCAGGCCTCGTCACTGTAAATGGCTCACCAGGCTGCACACTCCCACATCCATCTGGACACAGAGGGGGAAAAAAGGGACCAGCGAACAGAATAACAAGGAGCAGGCAGATTCAAACAGACGTGTTAGGAAATGATGTAGAGCAGAAAGAGATCAAGGTATAACTCCTTCATATTGCAGTCAGAAGGAGTTTATGTTATTCTAAAGTTAGGGAAACAACACAGAGAAGATAGGGCATGTGGTTCAGAGTTGAACAGTTATGCAGTGATACAGTGCCCTGAAAAATAATTCGTACTATTTTTGAGCTTTTCATTTTTTTTTGTAGAGAATGGAAATCTTTAACAAATGTAAGTGAATATTTTGGGTTATTTTTGGGCTTTACATCGCTAGATGAGGGTAATTTTTTAAAACATGAACAAAATATTCATATTTGTCCATTAAAAACTATCAGCAAAATGTAAAAATAAAAACTGAGGAGCTGGTTTGCAATGTTTGTAAATACTCTCATTTAGTTACTGTTACTGTTACTTGCAGTTACAGTAACTCCTTAAAACTACTTAACTACAACAACTTCTTAAAAAGCTGTTCTGGCAGCTTTGGGATTGAGATTGTTGCACAAAATGACTCAGAGAGCTGTGATCTACCCAGAAATCCTCCCTCACCACAATCCTGTCATATTTCTGGTAAGATGATGAAGCTACTGATATTTTCTCCTCCACAGCCTGGCCGAAACTACTAGTAGAGGCGAAGAAACCCCCCATATTTAGAGAGAAATCCTTCAGATTGTTACAAAACATCCTCGGAGAAATGTGGTGGTCGAATGACCAAGACAGTATGTGTGATGAGTTAAAGGGTGCGATAAGGTGATGCAGACCTTCCTGCTGAAATGGAGTTTTCCAAGTTAGCCATGAACAAACACCATTAGAATGGTTTTGAGTGTCCTCGATGTGGCTGTAGTTTTTCTTTGGACTAGTGGAAGTACTGGAAGGACAGTATGTATAGATACTAGAAAAACAGTATATAGAGATGTAGAATAACTTGAGACTTTTTCATGACATTGTATATGAACAACTGCTATAGTTTCTCTTTCCTTTGTTCAACAGAAGATAAGCATCATATAAAGGTGCAGAAAAGGGAACAAACTTTAATTCAATAAATCTGTATGCCAGACATGCCGACAGCTTGGAGTTGCAGCTTATCAGATCTGTAATGCCGTTGTGTCATCCTTTCTGTAGCTTTTAATAACTAGGAAAGGAGAGCTATACCTCTGGTTAATCTGTACGGTGAATGACTAATAATGTGTCGACAGCATTATCTATAATTAGGCCAATTGCAATTTATTTGACAAGACAGTTATTGAAGATAAAACAAGGAGTGTATGAGCACTGAAATACAATGAAGCTTTATTTTTTTACCTCTGTTTGTGTCATTGACATTGATCAGTATAATGAAACAAAAAAATGTTTTTTTTTGGCTTTCAGAAAAGGGCCTGCTGATCTGGCTGGAGACAACAAGTAACTTCTGTGTTTTCTTTTGTTTCCCTTTTGATTTGAACTCCTCAGCCATTCAGTGATTTATATACAAAAAGAAGTATTTTGAAGACTATATTCTGAGCTAAAGGGAGACAGTGTAAGGACTTTACAACTGAGGTGATGTGCTCTATTTTTCTGGTTTTATTGAGAATGCGAGCAACATCTTTCTGGATCAGCTGCAGCTGTCTGACTTTTTAGGCAGAGTTGTGAAGACACTGTTGCAGTAATCAATGTGATTAAAGATAAATGCATGGATGAGTTTCTCTAGATCTTTCTCCTTTAATACTGGAAACTGTTTTAGGTGATAGAAGGCTGACTTTGAAATTGTCTTTATGTGTATGTGAAAGTTAAGGTCAGTTTTTCACTACAACCAGGCCTAACTGTTACAGCTAGTTCCTACTTGTAATAGCTGAATAACTTGATCACTCTTCTTTAGGTCCAAAAATAATTACTTCAGTTTTGGTTTTGTTCAGCTGTTCAGTTACTTCACATCTATACACTGATTTGTTCCATGCATCTGCTCAGTGCTTAAATGGGTTTGTAGTCACTTGGTGATGTTGAATATAGAGCTGTGTGTCATCTGCATAGTTGTGAAATTACTAATTGCTGTAATCTGAGATAACGGGATCTCATAGATATTAAATCAGAGGGATATCTCAGGGTACCCTGAATGTGACTTCTGCCAGGCCTGACAAGAAGTTGCCTTTGGTCTGTAATTAGGTAAGACATGAACCAGTCAAGTACTGTACCAGAGAATCTGACCCAGTTCTCCGGTTACTTCAGTGATTCGTCATGGTCAACAGTGCTGAATGCTGCACTGAAGTCTAACAGAATCACTGCTGTGGTTCTTTCACAGTTTCTGTCAATGAACACAGTTTCTGTGTTGGTTGAGTACTTATAATAAATAATATATTTATGGTTGCGTTAGTAGAACAGTGTCATTTTGTTTTGTTTGGACATTACATTGTTACTGGATTGGATTAACTCTCTACTATTTAGAATTTTCTCTGCAAAGCAGTTAGTAAATTTCTTCCAGGTCAGAGTGGAGTTCAGATGCTCCAATCAGAGAAGGGATTGTTAGTCCGTCAACCATTTTTGGTTACCCGATATATTTTAAGTCATCAACTACGCCATCAGACTTTCATTAAAAAACCCAATCCATGATGGTTCCAATTTCTCTTCTAAAACAATAAACTATAGCACTTGCTGAATGTGATTTTTGCAGTGATGTGTGGTGAGGTTTATAGCTGGTGAGGCACTTAATCATAATCAGATTTACAAATTCAGACCCCCTACATGTTATTGTTTACATAAGGAAATTTCGCGCATGCGGACAACGCTGGAGGGCAAAAAGACTTCATTAAAGTACAACTCAAAATTGCTTCTTTCTCGCTCTCTGTATCAGCGCAGCAGACTCATTGCAACAGCAACAATGCCACAAAAAAAAAGACTCAAATATTTCCCACACAAAGAGCAGAATATTCAGTCTGTTGCAGTAGTATGGTTTTAGGCTTAATGTTTATTTTGCGATTTTTATTAAACGATTAGGAAGAAAGCTATAAATATATCACTGCAATTGACCTTTACTGTATGGCGAGGAAGCTGTTGCTGTCTCTTGCTCTGCAATTGTGGAGTCACAATGTCTGGGATCATGAGCGCCCCCTGCCATGAGGCCAGAGAACTGCTTGCCTCACTTCAAATCTGTTTTCTGCCTTTTATGATCGCTCCTCGGCACACAAAGCACGTTACATACACAGTTGGTGACAAGAAACACTATACATTATATTACACAAGATAAATTATGGAAAATCATGTCATACATTAAATGTTTTTTTCACCATTATATTCGTGACTTACAGTCAGGAGGAGCATGCTCTCATAGCATGGCAGTCAGTGCAGTTAGTGAGAGGTTACGCAATCGAAGGTGAGGCTCAGCCTCACCGACTTCACTTTCAAGCATTTGAATGGAAAAATGGAAATTCTGCGATTTTGAAGAAATAATAATCAGAATTGGTTAAGCTAAATGAAAAATAGGTACTTTATAGTACATACCACAGGGTGAAAATAGCAATATAAATGATTTGATCATTATATATTATTTTTCCATGATGAGGCTCTGCCTCACATGCCTCCCCTGACTGCATATCACTGGATTTTTGCTGTTCAACAAGTTACTTTATTACGCTTGATGATGAGATGAGACGACCAGTTGTTAATTTTTGATGACATAGTGTATAATATAAGTGGATTCTCTTCCACTGCCAGATTATAATGAAAATTATGACACTGCTGTTGCTATAGTGCAGGTTGCAGATTGAAGTGGATGTAGGCAGAGACAGAAAGGAAAAGATGAGGGAGCGAAGCCCTCAGATCACCACTCGGGTGCTGACTCAGATATAACAGTTGGGTGTCTTCCAACATTCACCAGAGATACACACAAGTGCAGATGGTATGTAATTCATTGAGTGTTCTGTTTTTGTGCCCTTATGGATCAAACTTGTACAAGCAGATGTATGGTCATCATTATAAAGTGAAATGTTAGTGTATCTACAGAATATTGGCATAAAATGCAATGTAAAAAAATAACTATATTTGTACTCCATTTAATTAATACAGTTTAACACTTATACATCTACACAACCTTGTCTTTCTTTTTGTAAAAATACAATATGTATACATGTTTACAAGAAAGAAAAAAAATTGATTTTCCTTTATTTTATTTTTGCTCTTTATATATATTCACAATTAATTAAGTTGATTAGCAAGTCTTGTGGTTATAAATCAAAGACAGATAATTTTATTGTAAACTGAGACAGTTAATTAAAAACTGGTTGCTGATAGTTGTCTCAAGTTTTTACCTTTAGACAAAATTTAGCTTTATTCTAGTCAAGTTGTCTTAGATGGGTTTTTTTCCTCACAAATGCCCAGTGAGTTGCTTCTGAGGAAATCCACACCAGTTTGTGAGTGAGTCTGGGATTTATTTACTTTTACTAGATTCATGTTTGCTCAATGTTCTGTTTTTTTCAGATATGGATGCTGGCTATGGTGGAGGGCTGTTGGACATGGTGAAGGGAGGAGCTGGCAAGTTCTTCAGCAACTTTAAGGACAACTTAAAAGACACTCTGAAGGACACCTCCACAAAGGTCATGCATCAGGTTGCCACGTAAGTGAATACATCACTCCTGTTGTAGTCAGTACATTTCTAAAACATGGAATAATTTTTCGACTCTTAGTATGGATATACAGATCTTCCGCTTTTGGTTATAATCAGAACATATATTTTCTCCTACCTTCAAGTCTTTCTGTTTTCATAAAAAATTTGTGTTATTTAGAGCTTTTGTGATGCTGCCGTACCACACACGCCTAGCAGAATACACAATCTATTTCAAGGAACTGAGGAAATTTCAAACTGAAAAATCAATCTCAATGACTTGTTGACCTGAAATTGAGGATTTTTGAGTTCTATAATCTTTGCTGTAGATTTCGGCTGATGGGAATTAAACATTATTACATACATGAATAATGGATTTTGTGGAAATCACTCTTGCTTGCTTAATTTCTTCTCTTTTTTACGACATTATTTAGCAGATTCATTACATCTGGAAGTGCCTCGTTGTTTTCTAGATGTAGGAACATCCATTATGTTGGGTATGAAATGATGTAGCAGAGCTGCATATTTCATTCAATACTGCTGATGTTTACTCTGGAAACTGTCTGAAGTTTTCAGTGAACAATGACATGCATTGTTTGGTTGGTTACAGTAAGTGTCTACGGGAGCTTTAAGAGTAGAAACGCTCAGTGTGGATGGAGTGGGGGAAACGCGAGGTTGACACGGCTGGGTTGTTCCAGTGTGTTTGTGCACAGGCATCTGCTTTGGGGAGCACAAAGCGGCCTCTGTGTAATCACAAAAATACACTCACACATACACACTCATCCGTATGTGTCTTGAGTCAGCAAATTTTATGGTATTTATCCCCCTCTCGTGCTTCCCCTCCTCCAGTCATTCTGTCCTGTTTTCATCTCAGCTCCATCTCTCTGCTTCTCTGTCTTTCTGCTGTCTGTTTCTCCTCTTCTTGTTGAATTATTCATGTGAGCCCATTGTGCCAAATGGCCTGTGCACTGCTGATACTAACGTATTCATTTCATTCAGGCCATGTGTGCAGCGGTGTGTGTTTGAGAGGAGTGTATAGGTATTTGTAAGTGGGCGGTCCAAAAAATGGAGAGGTGGGTACAGGAGACACAGAGAACAGTTCAGAATATTACAGAAATTTAGAGTCACTTATCAGAATTTCTGTTATTTTTGTCCCTTTGTGCATCTGAACTTAGATTCTACACTTTGAATACCAGAGGACAAAATTGAATTCTGTACCAGACACAGGGAAGGTGATGAGGACGATGATGATGATGATGATGATGATGATGATACACATTTTAAGTCATTGGGAAACCAAACAATATTGTCTTTCACACTTTTCCCAAGTTACAAGTTGAGATTGAAGGGGGTTGAATAATAGTTTGCCACATTTTTCAGATTTTTATTTGTAAAAAAATTTGAAACCCACTTATTGGTTTCCTTCCTCTTCATAGATACACATTATTTTGTGTTGTTATATTATGTAATGTCCCAACAGAAAACATACAGTGTGCAGTTGACAAAAGGTTGAGAGTCACTACAAAAATATGCAGAGCAATTAAAAACATTTCTGTGAAGTAAATTTTACAGAAATGTGAATATTGTTTATACATTAAAGGCATCAATATCTAAACTGTAAATTTAAACCTATTTCAAAATAAGTATTGTTCTTGTAGTTTGAAGAATTGCAATGTTTGCATGGAATTAAGGAGGATAGTATAAACTCCTGGATTATTAATGGACTGTATGAATAGTATTTGTTTTCAGTAGTGAATCCTCAGAGTTGACACTTGGTTTTACAACTAATTTCCTTTAGTTTTGCGCTGAAGAGGTGTATTTTTAGAAGAAATTTCCCTTTGAATTCTGACTGAAAAGATATTTGTAGAGATTATCCACTCTCTGTGTGCCGTTTTTTTAAACCAAACTCTTTTGACAAAAATATGACATGTTCTGAAATAATCCAAGCCATTACATTGCTGCCTGTCTCCAGCAGTCATTGGGCGAACAGCAGGGTAGACCCTGGACTGATGAATATTTAAACAAGTCTGAGAGAAAGCAAAACTAATCTGCACATTAAATATTCCGGTTCATATTTAAGCTGCAGTGTGGGGACCTGTTTGAGACTCTTTCATAGTCCATCTCCAAGCCAAAAATCAACAATAAAAACAAAGACAGTAACTGAGCATCTGAATCTGAGTCCTCTTTTTATTCAATTTAAGTTAAACTTTTCAAATGAATGCTCTTATTTATGGATGACCTGCTGGCATCCAGGGTACTTCTTGGCAGTACTTTTTATTTTCAGTTTCTTCATGACAGGTGGCAAACTTATTGATGCATTAGCATCTCCCTTCGGTAACAGCTTTACATTACAAGCCATTAAAATATAGAACATTTACATTTTGTTACTAAAATTTTAATTTATAAAATAACTGGTCATCTTCTACTATGCAGAGTGTTTATTACACTCCTGTGACATTATTGTGCATCTGCCTTGCTTGTTTCCGGTTTATACCCAATAAATGACACTTCAGCATTGTCTCTCTTCTCATCTTACACTGTGTTGTATCTGTTGTATATGTAATATGATATTTTCTCCCGTATTTCTCATTAGGAATCATAATCTCTTTTTTGTTGATTGGCACCTTCTGGGTCAGCGGTGGAGCCGTGACACCCTGTACAGACGCATTTAGTCGTCAATGTAGCCGAAAACACTGGAAATAAAAAAAACAATGCTGAAATGAAATGCAAATGAAATTTAAAAAAGCACAATAAACCATAACTATTTGTATAACTTACTGTGTAACTAATTTTAATAAAAATTTAAAAACCTCTCTCTGGCAAGATATGCCCACACACCTCTGTTAGACATCTGTTCCTTTTTTTTCAGCGTTTGGGATTCTAGAAATATTTTCTAGTCATAGTCTTTCTCAGGTGCTTTTTAAAAAATTTTTGTACCTCCAAACTCTGCCTGTGCCAGTTTACAAAAATAACATCCCAACAACGGTTCAGAGAGAAGTCGTGAGCATATTCAATTTAAGTTAAACTTTTCAAACTGCAGTCCTTACTCTGGCTCTCATTTAACGCCCCAGTGACACTCGCTAGGTTGCTATGGACCCCAGTCTCATCTGTATTCGAAGCAACACAACCTCTTTGTTTATTTACCTGCAAGAACAGAGAATCTGCTGTAGACTCAATATGGGGCAAGTATTAAACAGGGTATGATATAATTTTGAAGAAACCTCAAATGAGTTATGGTGAAACACATTCACCCTACCAGACAGAAATGCATCAATCTTCCTTTAAATTCATAGTTTTTCTTTTATTTAGTTTTAACTTGTTTCTAATCACCCTGCTTCTATTCTCTTGTTTTTCTTTAACTTGTCCAACATACACTGTTTGAATGCTTGGCGTTTTCAAAAATGTGTTATAAAACAGATCATTTGAAGCTAACAATAGAACTGAGTTGACTTGAACCAAGCTTAGTTTTGAAAGAGTGGAGCTGTCTTTTTCTTTTGCACTCCAGGTTTAGTAAATAGAAATTGGGTCACAGACTCAGAGTGCAAATATTCAAACAGTGTTTAGATGTTGACGCATCACACTTGCAAAAAGCAGACATTTTTGAAGCAGAGTAGAACTGGAATGAAGGAACCCAGATCAAAGATAGGCTCTAACCCACTCTGTCTGAATTTGTGGGTTTCATCACTCTTTAAAGCAGATTTCCAAATGTGCAATTTGTTCTAAAACTGTTTCATATTTACTTCCTAATCATAAAATACAAATTACAACTATGAGTATGTATGAGTGGAATAATTTTTTAAATGGTGGCTTTGAGAAAATTCACATCCATCCATGCATCCATAGGTCCTTCCATCAATTCAAAAGTTGAAACCTTGAATATTACAAGGTTGAAACCTTGAATAAGTTTGAAAAGAAAATAGTTTTTAATAGTGGAATTGTAATAATATAAATCTGAATATATGATAATACAGATTGTCATGACATTATGCAGATGTCGTGACCAGGTTTTCGTTGGGTCCATATGTCACAGCCCCATGAAAACAGAGAGGTGTTTGTTCGCGGTCATTCAGCTCCACTGGATTTTCTCATTATGCTACAAATGACTCAGTTATGCACATAATTGGCACTCAAATTGTGCATTACTATCGTGGTGTCATCTGCTTAAGTTAAAGCTCTGTAATGTAAAAGAAATGTCAAGTACGTCTCATGCATCGCTATTGGTTCCATGCTCTTTACTGCAATTTCTCTAATGCTGCAGAGATGGATTATCTGTGTGTAAACAGTGTTATAAAAATAACTCTTATATTGAAGAACTAAAATGAAAGGCAATGGTGTTATTTAGAGAATTTCCTCATGGCATCCCTTTAATGTTGAGTAGCCCAGTCAACTGTTGTAATTATTGAAAAAGTCAGATTTTATCACCCAGACACTCATATACCTCTGGTGCTCATAAACCTATTGTTAAACCTAATTGTTAAGATTTGAATTTCAGGCAACTCGATGCTCTGGCAGTGATTAGCAGAAGTTTGAAGTTTAATTCCTGACCTTATCTTTGTGTTCTTGCTGATTTGTTGTTGCGACATTTGACCTCCTCTATGGATTTATGGAATCGGTTACCATGTTTTATGACCATCCCGCACTCAAAGTCTGATCATGCCCAGAAATATGATAGCATTTCTTTCAATTATACTGATGATGTAGAATGCAGTGATGTGCAAAAATAATTCACACCTCGTTTTTATGTTTTGTAATATTACAACCACAAACTTCAGTATATTTTATTGGATTGTTACTTGATAGACCGACACAAAAAACAGAGTTACTGTGAAAAATAATGATCTTTTGATGAAGAGGAAAACAATGCAATTTTAAAAAGTATTTGGCATAAAAATACATTTATTTTAGGATATTTAAGCGGTTTTCAAGTAAAGAAAGGCTTTTGTCTTCCTATGAAGATTGTTGTTTTTAATGACGTTACAGCTTGAACTGCATAACATTTGCAATATTTATATCGCACACAAATCTATTGTGATGATTATATCATATTCATAATACATTGTGCAATTCTAATTATAAGTTTAAAAAAAAATAATTTGGAGACTTTTCTATGTTTTAGGTACACTAAAGGAGAGCTGGACATTGCATATATTACATCAAGAATCATAGGTAGGATAAAACTGTTTTTTTAATTAATTTTCTCTTTCTCTTCTTTTGACCTTCTTTTGTAATAATGATTTACTCAAAGCTTTACATAATCATTAATATGACGATGGAGTGTGCAACGAAGTCAGCAGAATATGTATTGTGTCTAGACGTGCATCAGTGATATTCATTCTCTAATGGTGACCTTTTTATATTCTAAGGGTTAACTGTAATTATGCAAAATCCTAAAGTAAAAATTTTCTGAGCATCTCTTTTCTTTCCAGTCATGACGTACCCTGCTGAGTCAGTCCAGATTGGCTACCAAAACCATGTTGAGGACATTCGCTCGTTCCTCGACAGTCGTCACGCCGACCACTACACAGTTTTCAACCTTTCACAGCGAAACTACCGTGGCGCCAAATTCTCAAATAGGGTTAGTGTTATTATATCTCGTATGTTTTAGATGCCTGTGTGTTTTGGTTATTTGTTGCTGTGGCACCGAGTTTCTTTGATCATAAGCAGATTAATTTTCTTTCTGGATGGTGGCAGAGTGATGCCCGAAGGACCAGCTGTTCAATTCTGTTAATTTCTCTGTATCAGTACAGTTTCCTCACGATAATTGGTACTTCAGAAAAGAAAGGTACATATATGCTGAAATTAAACACTGGCTTTTTCTAGATTTCTCAGTGCATTATTATGCTTTAACTATTAAATATGAAATTATTTAAAAAGGTTTTCAAATATTTACCAGTGGTGGCAGTGGAGATGTTTTATATATTTATGTTTTCCTGACTTATACTGTAATATATTAATGTATTAGTATTATATATTAATATACTCATGTGTCATTTGTTACTTGCATCCAAGGACATGTGACAGAGCTTTAGTTTTTTTTCACTCCTGAGGTGAGAACATTATCGCCTCCTTTTTTCTGATTTGTGAAACTGATGTGAAGATGACCAGCAAATGACCTGCAGTTACAGGGGACATGCTTTCTGCCTCCTAAAATGCAGCTGCTTCAGTTCTTAAAAAGGGGAATATTACCTGATTAATCCCTCTGCTAATGTCACAACACACTTTTAGTTAGGTAAATTTCCCTTTATTTGCATAAAGTTGTGCAAGACTCCCAAAAATGACATTTGTTAATTAAAAAAAACTTCATAATTATACTTTCTGTTGCTTCATTGATAGTAATAAGAAAAGATTGTTGGCTATTTTTTAAGGTGAATTCACCACAGCATGTTTTTCTTGTGCTATAGATGATATCCAAATACAACAACTGAACCTTTTTAATATGTTTTTTAGTTTTTTTCACCTCTCTTCATGGGGTCCTTGCCTAATGGCATGCAGCACTTTTGCACAGCTGGGTTTGAATTAAAAGTTAAAGGGTATGTGGGAGCTGTCTTAAGAAAATACTGCCACCCTGCGGCAGTAAAAATCGAAAAGCTGTGGAAATACTTGTAGCAGATGACTCATCATGGCAACTGTTGTGTTGTTTTGCTCTGTGCTGCAGTTTCTGACCTCCACCTCTCCCTTTTCCTCCCCCATCTTTTCATTTTCCCAAACTGTTCATCTTCCGTCTGCCTCTCTTTTTGTTTTGTTTGATTTCATCAACCCTTTTTCTCCTTGTCTTCTAATCTCTCACTTTTCACTGCTTGTTTCACCCCATTTTGTCAAACCCTTTTCCAGGTGTCAGAGTGCAATTGGCCTTCTCGCCAAGCTCCCAGCCTTCACAACCTGTTTGCTGTGTGCAAAAACATGCACAACTGGCTCAAACAGAACCCAAAGAATGTGTGTGTCATCACTTGTTCGGTAAGAAGCTCAAATATTTATGTACAACCACAGATTCAGATGTAATTTTGAGTAATACTAAATACAGTTTTTATTTCCATTGTGCATCAAAAGAGTAACTCTGAAAATCACTTTGCACTCTGCTAATTGTTTATGCCCTCACACACTGTGGTGTGTTTTGGTTCAGTTTGTGCAAACTGACTCCACTCTTATTTAGTGACACTAGAAACACTGGCATGTGGGAGCAGATGTTATTGCCAAGCTGCTGTGGTTTGGCAGTGGCTTGGCAAACTTCTCCTTCTTGCATAATCTTGACCAAATTTGTTTCTCTTCAAAAACATTTCCCACTGCTTCCAGTCCCCAAGAGGTTTGTACTTCACTGCAACCTAAAAAAAAACTGCAAACAAGTTGTACTGGAAAGAAAACAGTCTGGGATTTAAAACATATGTTAATATTGTATTACGTAGAGATACACTGATGTATTCAGCTTACAAGATGAGGCAATACAAAAGAGCCAAAACAATTCTTTTGCGTTTTGTTCCATACAAGTGTTAAGTAGTAGAAAAAAAGAGGCTCCAAACAAAAGGGATGTACTGCTCCCCTTCCAGACTTTCTGTTATCTGCTAAAAGTCTTGCCCTCTCCAAATAAGTAAAAGTTAATTGTAAGGGGCAATAATTGTGGAAGTTGTTTGAGCATCTGCTTTGTGTCCACACAGGACGGTCGCGCTCCCTCCGGTGTTTTGGTCTGTGCCATGTTCTGCTTCTGCCACCTCTTCAGCCACCCAGTTCCTGCCATGCAGCTGCTCAGCGCCAAGAGACCAGGATCCGGACTCTGGCCCTCACACCGCAGGTTTGGATCCATGAGCTCTGAGACAGACTCTTTTTCACTCCATTTAAGTTTGTTCCCTGACCATTTTGAAAGGAATATTTTTGTTGTTGTTTAGGCAAACCTAATCTTTGAATTAGCCAGGAATAACAAGGCAAAGTTATTTCTACACTCAACTAAAAAGTTTGACCTTTAGCCCGTTATAAAAACACATTTCCCTTCAGACCACGTCTGAATTCTGAACCTGATGTACAGTAGATATAACGTTTTCAAACCTTTCGGCTACGGTAACGTCAGTTGAAGGATAATCCATTTCTCAGGTCCAGTGTTTCTGGGTTTTTTTGTGTTCCTCTGTTGGTAAATCTTTATCAATTACAAGACCGACAAAAAGTTGTGTTGTTTCAGTAAAACTCAATTGCTTATTACATCTTTTTCTGCCATAGCATTTATTTCCACACAATTTTCTGTTTATTCTTGCATGTTTCTATGTTTAACTCTGCATGCAAGAATAAAGGCCATAGCTTCTGTAGCATGGCTATTTTTAAACACCCCCTTCTTTATAGGTTGTTAATAACTGCCTCCCAGACAACTTACAAGGAAGCATAATTGTCTATATAATAACGTGATCTTTAAAATAACCAAAATTAGACACTTGGAATAAATCACTTTCAGTGTAAGAAATCTGCATTACATGAGTTTCACTTTTAAATTCAGTGGAAAGATATTGAAAGAGGTCACTGGAATCAAATTATTTAGAAATAAAAATGACGCTGTAAACCAAACCAAATTTTTCTGTAACTTTTATTTTCATACAGGTACATAGGTTATGTATGTAGCATGGTGTCAGAGAAGCCCACTCTGCCGCACTCCAAGCCCTTGGTTATCAAGGCCCTCACTATGAGTCCAATTCCATGTTTCAACAAGCAACGCAGCGGCTGTCGGCCCTTCTGTGATGTCCTGATTGGAGAGACAAAGATCTTTACCACAGCGCAGGAATACGAGAGGATGAGGTCAGAAAAAAAACATATCTTATTTTCTAAACAATCTGACAAAAACAAAACATCTATACTATCCCCAAACTGTTCCTGGTTTCTACTTCCTCAGAGAGCACAGGATCCAGGAGGGGAAAGTTGTTTTCCCTCTTGGTGTGAGTGTTCAGGGAGATGTTGTGGTTTCTGTCTACCACATGAGGTCAACAATTGGAGGTCGTCTGCAGGCCAAGGTAATGTTGCTTATATTCCTGCAGCAAGATCTAACATAGGGAACTAACAATCATAGTAAAGTAAAGGACACTAAGGAGTGCAAAATCTTCATCATGTCTGCTCCTTCAACAATCTAATCAGTTGTTAGTTCTGTTTTTAGTAGCAATGTTTGTGTTTGTAGCGCTCTGGCTGAATGCAATGACATACAGTAATAGCCTTAAACTTATTTGCCAAAAGAGTTTGCAATAACTTTTTAAGTGAATCTTATCTCAACAATGTGGAGGTGGATAAAAATTATCCTTGTTTTGATTTTTTGTTAGGTGTCCAACACTCAGATCTTCCAGATCCAGTTCCACACTGGCTTTATTGCTCCTGGAACCACCACATTGAAGTTTAGCAAGTGAGAAAGAGGCTTCATATTTGTCCCACTACTATGAGATAATCTCGTAAAAAATCCAGATTTTTATGATTTGGTAAAATAAGTGTGACCACTTATTTTCTTTGGACATGCCTTATAATTCTCCTTAGACCAGAGCTCGATGCCTGTGACTCCCCAGAGAAATATCCTCAACTGTTCCATGTGATCCTTGATGTGGAGGTAGAAGGAGTGGATAAGCAGAAAGACTTGACGCCACCATGGGAGCAGTTTCCCTGTAAAGACCTGAGTCCCAATTTGCTCTTCTCCAGCCACCAGGAGCATCAGGACGCACTGGCTATTGCAGGTATTCAAATGCTAGTATTTAACCCATGCTAAAAATGGATTAATAACAAAACTGAGACAATAATTGCTCTGGCAGCTAATTAATCTGACAACCTTTTAGAACAAGAAAGTTGGGAAAAAAGTAAAATGTTTTTTAATTTGAATTTATACAATATTATTTGTTGAGAAGCTGCTCTGTTTTCTTAAATATGCTGCATACAATAAATAAATTGGATGTAATTGAGAAAATTTTTTCATCCTTTTTTTTTTTTTCCAAATTTCTAATAATTATTTTGGTATCATTTGACATGATTTTAGTGCACTTTCAAACTGACTCATTTGTTTTGACTTTACTCCTATCCTATTTTACAAAATTGTGTAAAAAGATTTGTCTAAAGCTGCAGCTTAAAATGAACAGTGGGCTTGTTACGAGCATATCATATGCTTCTTTTAGCTTGTGTTTTCAAAAGGTTACCGGTGCACTTTTAAAGTGAATTCTTTTGTTTTTGTCTTTTTCACTTCCATTTATGTGTCGACTCAACTGTAACATCTGTTTATCTATGAGTAAAAATGCAAAAGCAACTAGCTTGTGTCACTGTAGCTAATTAGTACCAATTTCTTATGCTCATTTGATGCAAACCTGAATTTGATCCAGAAATGAGAAAAGAATGATAAAGTCTAAAACAATCTTCCAAAGTACTCTAAATGAATTGATTTTCAAAAATTCTACATTTGTTCTTTGCTGTGCACTTTCAACAACATTTTAGTGTCTTCTTGTTTTAACAAAAATAAACTGATGTGGCCAATTTTTGTCCTTGCAAGATGAGATGGAGGGCTTGGATCTGGAGGGTAAGAAGGAAGCAGTTCATGGATCTATTAAAGGAAACACACAGTGGTCATAGTTAACGAGGGCCTGGTTCAATTCAATCCCACTCATCCAGGAACTAGATTAAAATATCGACACATACATTTTGTATTAACGGAAACTCTGTTTGGCTCTTTCCTTTTATGATGTGCATTGATTGAATTGAAATTAAGCCCATATTGGTATTAAGTAATATATCACTTTGGTAGAAATGTTCAGCCACCTAGGGACTTAAATGGATAATGAGGGACTTAAATAGGTAAATCCCTCATTTAGTGGGGACTTATCCAGCCCACTAAAGACCGTATTTTTAGCTTGTATCCAAAGTCAGAAGCCCTAAAACTACATATATTCCCTGTAACAGTCTCCTACGAAAGCAAAAAAAAACCCAAAAACAAACTGTTTGTTATTCTACCAAGGTGAAATATTGCTCTTGGTTTACACTAGCTCAGGTCGACTAAATGTATGCCCTAAACCCAGCTAAAAGCAAATATATTAAATACCTTAAATTATTCCAAAGTAAAACATGCCATCTTCCTTTATTAGGTTAGCAGTTAGAAGGGGACCCTCAGTCGGTCCCCTTCTTTTCCATTTATTGGACTGGAGTGGTAACAGGTCTATGATGAAGACATATTCTGGGCATCACAGTGTGCTTTCAATGGGACTGAGCAATGGCTCTTCTCTAAGCGGAGGATAGAGCTCCTCATCTTGTCTCTAAGTCTGAAATCTACCACCCTGTTATCCAGCAGCTTAATTCTACAGTATAGAAGAAACCTTAAGAGTCCTAAACCAGAATCTTTACACTATAAAACAGCAATTTTTCAATTTTTTAATCAGACCTTTTTGTACAACTGTTTAAGTGCACAGTAGATTAGCTGTTACTTGTAGCAATTATAACCTTTGTAAGCTCCCGTTGTTCTCCAGTTTATTTCTGCCTCAGTTCCTCTTAGCCTGCTTTTTGTCTCCGTCTGCTTTGTGTGGAGTTCTTCCCCATGTATCTGTTTCTATCTTGTCGAAGTTAGACAAGTTAGCATTGTCTAACTTGAACAGATTTTTCTTACGGCTTCCTACCTAAAGCGTTTTGTTTATATCGTATCCCACTGAAGAACCAAGCCGGCAACACGGAGAAGGTCGGGCCCATTGTGAGGAGAGCGAGCCCTCCGATGACGAAATGTTGTCGCTTTCAAGCCAGCGAAGTAGCATCAGCGCTGCCTCGCAGAAACCAGAACCTGCAGCTCCAGTTCCTGGCGCACCAGCACCCACTGAGGAAGTGGATCTTCTTGGCCTGGGTGGGGAAGACATCAACCGTCCGTGCCCCTCTTCTCAGCCTGCAGCGGCTGCAGCCACTGACCTCCTGGGAGATTTGTTTGGGGCTCCGCCTCAGCCGGCCAGTGCACCTTCATCCACTCAGTCCACTCCGCACAAAGTGGCCCCTAATACTGCCTCACAGAGCCCATCCCCTGCTCCACCAGGTGAAACACTTGAAAATACATTTAACTTCAAAACACATTTTTGGAAGAAAAAATACATATAGACCACAGTTATAATTTTTAATTTAGAAAATGTTTAGAAAACAGACTTGGATGTTAGGTGAAATGTTTTGATTCTGTTGGTAATTTGCCATTGTTAACCTTGTTCTTACACATTCTTGAACAAAGTAGGAAACTGTGAAACTTAATTTAACAATTTTCAAAGTCTGAATGAATGAAAAATGTTGTAAGCAAACATTTTTAAGTTGCATCCTTTAAATATTTAACATTTTGTCTGGTTTAACATTTTGATCATTTTATTTTTTGACTTAAACCACAAAATGAAATACTGATTTTTTGTTGGACCATTGCTCCTCTTGAAAGAGTATTGCAAGCTGAATCCACTGGTGTGGTTTAAATACTAATAAAATTTTTGGATGAATCTAAATTTATTCAGTTTATCTAGTTTAGTTTATCAAGTTGTTCTAATTCTCCTTGATAACATGAAAATATAAAAAAGTTTAGTTCTTATAATGTTTTGTTGTTTCTTTTAAAATTATTACTTTTTAAAAAGTTACTTAAGTCCAGAGGGAACTTGAGAATATAACTTTAATTAGATTAAAACTTTAAAATAATCATTTCTCACAAAAGTGGGTTAATGATATGGTTTGTATCTGTGTCCTGCAGCATTTCATCCTTTTGGAGCAGCTCCTATGCCTAAGCCTCAGGAGATGATGGGCTCATTCCTCGGACCAGGTAATGTGGGGCAGCCAGACCTCTTTGTGCATGCTGCTCGTTCTCCATCACCCACCCTGCAGCCTACAAGCTTGGGTAAGGCATGCTTCTGCTGCTTTGCTGCCGTTTTTAACACAATCTCACACACAAGTCAGGTTAGGCATGTTTTATGGTATTGCTGTGATGATTGTTTTTGTTCATTTGCTCTAGTTAGTGTTAAAAGTTGTTCATTGCTTGACTGCAACACCTTTCGAGCTTTTTTTGTTGCCTTGTGCAAGAAATGTGGTTTTATTAGTTATGCAGTTCATGTTCTGCACTAAATAGTTTGCATGATTACTTATAGTTCATACAGATGTAAGTATTTTATTTCCAGCACATTCCATTCTGCATAACATCTCAACTGGAATGTATGTACATTTTGTGATGTTTCTAATTATTAAATTAAATTACAAAAAATGTGTGCAAAAGCCTTATAGCAACACATCTGATTTGAATCAGTTTGTATTCTGGGTTCATTGTGTGCTCTTTGGCCAACCTTTATGTGACTGTACAGGTAGAAGCTCCCCTGTCCCACCCGCCACACCTACCGTCAACATTCAGCAGCAAAATGCCCTGGGAGGTTGGGACTGGAACAGACCTGTCACCACAAGCACAGGTACGCACACAACCACACTGATGGACAAACCAGAGTTTTTTTGGTTCCTTCTACAGTAATTCTGTTTTTATGTAAATATTACATAATTTACATAATTTACATTAATCACTTCCACATCTCCTGTGCTTGAGTCTGAGAAGAAGAGATATGCAACCCGAGAAAACACATTTGCAAAATATTTCCATCTACTGGACTTGATTGGCATGCTAGAATCTGCATTGTTCAGTGCAACCTAAGAAGTGGGAGGGAATCAAGGTTGCGCAGTTTCATAAATTCACTCATGAATTCTTTCTTTTTTTGTGTGTGTGTGTCTTTTTACAATTTTCTGACGTAGCGGGAGGTTTTGGTATTGGCAGTCGATCAGCCACTACCAGTCCCACAGGTTCAGTCCACAGCACGCCCACCCACCAAACTAAGCCAAACACCTTGGATCCATTCGCCGACATCGGAAACCTGTCCGGAAGCCTTGGAGGTCTGATTCCAAAGATTTGCTTTACATTTTTTGTCACATTCTATATTGTTTACAACCATTTATGTCTTTACCCTCAGGTGCTTCTGGATTCTCCAGCAAGCCCACCACTCCAACAGGAACAACTCCGTCCTTCCCACCAATGGGTTCCCCGTCGCGGCCGCAGCCGTCCCCCCAGCACACAGGAGGCTGGCAGCCCCACACAGGAGCCAACTTCTCCTCCTGGCAGCCCAGCGCCGGAGGTAGTGGAGGCTGGCAAGCCCAAGGACAGGGTCCGACTGCCCAACCAAAGCCCAGCCCCAGTCACACCTCCATTCCTCACACATCGCCTCAGAATCGACCCAACTACAATGTTAGCTTCTCAGCAATGGGAGGAGGCTCTCCGAGTGCAGCGGCCAAACCACAGGCGGGAACTGGTAAATAAGTTTTGTTGACTCTTGAGCTGTAAATGTTGGTAGAGTGAGAGGTTGTAATTAAATATTAATTTCTAGAGAACTTTGAAAACATAAGCTATAAAGGGTTTTGCTTGAAATGCAAAACAAAACCAAGCTGACAAAGAACGTTTGTTAGCTTGATTTGTCAGAGCAGCTATATACTGCTCTGTTATAATTACAAACACTGAGCCCTGCGGTACTCACAAAGTAAACATGGCTCGTAATGAAAATGTATAATTAGCCACTACCAGTCCCGCAGGTTCATTCCACATGACATGAGTGTTATTTTTAAGTGTATTTTGACAGTTAATAATTGTAGTAAACTGAGATATGCCAGTGTTTGTGATGTTTTCAACATCTAGATTTCAGAGTTTTAATAAAGTAAGATTCTGATTTTTTACTTCTGGCCACTATATGACAACAGTTTGTGTTATTGTAATTGCATGTGTTTAAAAGCTTTATTCCATGCTTTTGTGTTCCAGGTTCTAAGCCCAGAGCCTCGGATGCAAACTTTGATGACCTGCTCTCTGGTCAGGGATTTGCAGGGACCAAAGAGAAAAAAGGCCCCAGGACAATAGCAGAGATGAGGAAGGAGGAAATGGCCAAAGAGATGGACCCAGAGAAAATTAAGGTACCAACACTAACAAACATAAAAATATTTTTACTCCATCTTATTTCTTATTTATTTAAGGTCTGATATTTTCAAACCCATTAACTTAGAAGTGTGTTGGTAAGTTTACAAAGCATTTGGCTGTCAGAGCCTCCAAGTTTTTTCCAGAATTAATGAAGCACTCAGTGTTGGTTTTCTGCTGCCAAACTTTGGTTCATCTAATTATTCCTTTTGAGTTTCACCAAAGCCAGAACTGCTGAAAGAGGTTTTGTTAATAATTGTTTCAAATCTGGTCCTTACTGGCCAATGGTGCCTCCATCTCTGTACCCCCTCCAACTTGTGACCCAGATTTTGGACTGGATCGAGGGGAAGGAGCGTAACATCCGCGCCCTGCTGTCCACCATGCACACGGTGCTTTGGGAGGGGGAAACACGCTGGAAGCCAGTGGGAATGGCTGACCTGGTTACCCCTGAACAGGTCAAGAAGGTTTACCGCAAAGCAGTGCTGGTTGTTCATCCTGATAAGGTGAGAAGGACGATTAACAGAAAAGACCCTGTTTGTACATAAAAACCTTTTAAAATTTAACTTAGGCCAGATTATTTTTCTGTTAAGCTGTTTTACAATAATGTCTTATTTGGATCTATGAAAAAAACCCAACTACTTTTACTTTGTTCATATAAATTAAAGTTGAATCTGGGTCACTTTTCAGCTTGATTTAATAAAATATTGCAAAATGCTTTATTTTATTCTTCTAACTGGAAATTTACTGCAAAGCCTCCATTAGGTTATTTTTGCAAATTAAAACACACAATCTATTAGTTTTTTATGCCAACAGCCAATTTTATAAACAAAAGTGTACATAGAATCATAATTTCATAGTGATATATGTTAATTTTAGAAATAAACAGTTAATCAGTACATCAGTTATTTCCATGTCCAACAGAAAAAGCAACTTTAGATTTGAAGGTGTATTGCCAGTGGATTTTTATCAATACGTAATTTGCTGTTTTTCTGCTCTCTGCCTTGTACCTTGCTTAATACTTTATGGTGGACGACATTTTTCATATTTTACAATATAATAAAATACATGTCTGACTTGTTGACAAGTCAACTAAATACAAAAAGTACAGCAATATAAGTGTTGCAACTAAATTGCAATATACTTCATTCTTAACACAAGTAAAAATTGTAAATATTAAAAAATTTACATATTTAATTGTGATATTTATTAAACATCTTAAATAATTCAGTTTTTCAGGATTATATATCTCTAAACTATAGAAGCAGAGGCCCCATCACACCCTGTGTGTGCGCAAGAGGGAGGAGTTACAATATCTTCAACAAAATGGGTTTCTTCATGACATCAAATATTTAGTTGGTGCTTTGACAAGTTACCAGTTGCTTTTTTTCACAAGACAGTGAGATTTTTATTATGCTTTTTCTTTAACTGCACAATAATTTTTTATACATGACACAAAGAGTGACAACACGATAATACAAACAACCACAACAAGAAGTACCTTCATCACATTAAGGCTAAGGGGTTCAAAGGCTTGTTTTAAAAAGTCAAACATGGAGCTTCCGTCCTGGTGGACGGATTTCGCTGTTTCTTGAAGATGGTTGACTATTTCATGAATTGTGATGTTGTAATCAGGAACAAAAGTGCAGCATTCAGATCCGATGACAGCACAAGTTCCTCCCTGAGCGGCTAAAAGAAAGTCCAGAGCGGCTCGGTTTTGCAAAGCTAAAAGTCTAACGGAGGCGAACTCATTCGACATGAGTGTGAGGGCCTTACCAGTTTCATTAGCTATCACTTCTATAGCCTTGGACAGATCAGCAATCTGATCTAAAGAAGACATGACTCCGTAGAAAGGAAGAAGTGTGCCAAGTGCATTTTTTAAAGGCGTCTGATTGTGTGTTTTGAGAAAATTAGAAATTCCACGTCGTGCTCGCTTGAGAAAAGTTTTCTGTGGCAGGGAGGGCATCACCCTCATTGCTGGGACCACGTATCCCAACCCGCAGCGTCCATTGTAGTCCACCGGAAGATAGGGGTAAGCGAGGGTCCCACACACCCAGTACATGCCAACAGGAGAGGAGATGGAGCAGCTGGCTGTGCGGTAGGCTAAAGCATTCATGCGAGTGGCTCCCGCTGCACCCAAACACTGATAGGGAGCGGCATTAAAAGCTTTCCAGTCAGTTTCCCTCTGTCCTGAGCCCGACTTAAACGTGCGAAGGCAGTCAGATTGTCCTACTGGAACGTGGCCGTTGTTCTCCAAACACCAAGTGAACTTCTGAGGGAGGACAAGGATGGGAACTGGTTTGGGAGTTTGGAGACATTTGTTGCAGTTTCCACGTTCTCTCCCACAAGGCAGATGATACCTGTAAGATAAAAAAAAGAACAATTCATAGCTGGACACTTGGAATAAACTGAGTTACATGTCAGGAATAAACAAAGTAAATATACAGAAATTTGTCTTTACCTGCAGAGTCAGTCAGGTTTTCTATTTTTGTTTCCGAAGCAAATGTTCCAGCATGCCTGCATCGAGGAGAACATGCAATACCTGCTTTCATACTATCTGTCCTCTTTTTTTACTGGACAAAAGCAGAATCGAAAGACTTAGTGTTCCCAATCAGAGGGGTGTAGTGAAGCAGTCACAAGACTCCTGATTGATCACTGGAGGAAATCAGGATATCAGGATTGTTCTAAAGGGTTAGTGACTGCTTCAGGCCAGATACTGTGAAAATGTCTGTTATCCAATAGCCTTTTAAAACAGTAGTTCATAAACCCTTTCTCTCATCTGCCCACCAATTTTTATAACTGTGTCCATTGTTTTTGTCATTAAAAGAACAAAATATAATTCTTAGTGCACGATTAGTTGTAGGATATCTATTTGTTCTATTTATGCGTAGAGGCTAAAATGTCCAAGTTTGTGTGAATTGAAAGAAATTTAAAAATAAACTTATTTCCAAGCACTGGAATAAATGGGAAAAATATATGAAACAGGCTACTTAATTCTAGTTTGTACTTTAATACCAAGATTCATTGACTCAACCTATTGTAATGTCTATCTACAGTGTTACATAATACTACAGTTGTTATGGTTTGTCTTTCTGGCTTTTATTTATTTTTGTGTGATTCTTTTCTGTTTTTACACCAAAAACGGGATACTGACAAAATAGACAGGCTGTGTAATGTGACTTTTTAATTTTTTGCTTAAGTCATCGCTGCAATTCTGTTTATTTAACTTACTATAAAAAATTTAAGTGTTACTATCTGAAATAAAAATAAAAAAATCCCTACAAGCCAGAGACTTAAGGACAAAAGCCAGAGATTTCCTTCCTTCCTACATGAACATTTTCCAATTTATAGTGATTATTTTTTGTTTTTGTACCGTAAATAAGTTAAAAATACCTGGAAACACTAAACTGGAGTAAATGTAGAAGTTATATGTGTAGTAAATTAAGTAAGATGAGAAGATGAGGTGGTATTACTCTGTCTTGTTCACCTTTTAGGTTTATTTTATGTGTCCAAGCTTTCATATGTAATATTAAAGCACCATGTTTGTGTGCCAAAAAAAAGAAGAGAAGTACTCATTTAGACTTCAAGGTGTAACAGTTATATATATTCCTTTGCTCCTGCTTCACAGGCAACAGGACAACCTTATGAACAATATGCCAAGATGATTTTCATGGAACTGAACGATGCCTGGTCAGAATTTGAGAGCCAAGGACAAAAACCTCTCTATTCCTAAAAACAAGTGAAAAGAAGTGAGCAACATCAGGATGTTCCTTCCAGTTCTGTGTTCTAACCCTTAAAAGTGTCACCGCCTCTGAAATGACTCACCATGTAACATCATCTGCCTTTATACCTGCACTTTCACTCAGATTGCTCCATTTGCCCAAAACTCCTAACATCAGTGACGGCAACAGACGACCAAACAGACAAAAGAAGCGCCTCTGAACACAGACGAATGCTCTCTGTACGTACAGTATGTGGTGCAACAGCGACAAAGTTCACTGACCCCTTCCTTGACCCTTGAGATCAGCTCAATCAAACCAACAGAGATGTCTGAGACATGGAGCTGGATACCGCAGGATAAGAGAAAAACAAACCAGGGAGCACATTCAGCAAATATTTCATCGACTGCTCCTTGTCAGAGTTACAGTGATAGCAGATACTCTTACTGTAAGGCACAACAAGCATTTATATGCATTTATGTTAGCTAGAATGTAGTTTGCTCTTTGACCTGTGTGAAAATGCATTCAGGGTCTGTTGTGAAATCCAATCCATAGGAAGGTCAAATTAAAAGGCAGCAACATCAAGTTACTGTAAAATTATCTGACGGTAGGTTTTTATTCTGCTAACCATTGTTTGTTTAGAACAGATTGAATCTATAAATAGTAGTCAACGAGAAATACCATCAATATGTGTTCAGCAGAATTAAGATTTGATGAGTTTTCTGAGATTTTTTTTTTTTTTTTTTTTCACTTTTGCCTTGTTGAGTTAATATGGTGTAAAGACATTCCTGGAGGATGTATTGTTGCTATTCTTTATTCATTCTGGTGTTCCCAGGCAAAATTGTGAGTGGACTAGAGAGAATCCCATCCATGAATGCTTTACTTAAAGCAGCTACCACCATTTCTTTTTGGAAAAGTTATTTTTCCAAGATGTCTCAAGCGGTTTTAAATGAGGTTTCAGTCAGTAAAATAAAATTCTTAATTCCTCCAGCCCATTCCTGCTACTTCATGTAAAACATTGGTCTTTCCTTGATGTTTGTGTTCGCCTCACATGCAAAAACACTCACATATATTTATTGCCATCCCTCAGTAAGTTCTGCACTCACGGTAATTTCTCTCCTTGAATTTGTTGATGATTTGACACATTGTTTATTTGTGTGCATTCTTCATACATGAGGCTATTCATGCAAGCCAATGACGAGGGCTTGTGTTTCTGTGGAGATGAGAATGACTGACAAAATAAGATTAAGAGCAACACTCACTTTTAAAGCAACTGTTGTGTTTTTCTAATTCAATCAGCTTGTTAACACTTTGCTCTGAGCTGATTCTAAAATCATTGAGTCATTTTTGTGGCAGAACTAAAACACGTGATGAGTTAGTTTTGTCCTTTTTATTTGGTTTCTTTTTTTGGTTTCTTGCAGTAATTAGTTTTAATCTAATAAAAAGCGCCTATAAGACAGTAGCTGTCTACTTAGTGAAAGCAACTTCAGCTTATTGACTGTGTGATTCCTGATGGGCTTTCATTTCTGCTAATTGCATAATAATATGTGTGTATATCTAAAATAATTGGATCTTAGATCAAAAAATGTGAAAAAGAAATAACACTTTTTCTGACTACTGATTCTTTCTGTAAACTGGGAGTTGTACATTTTAGGACTGTAAAGCACCTCATGCATATCCTCATAAAGTAATATCAATTTGCAATTGAAAACTTGTGAAAGCACAAACATTTTTAATGTACTTAAAAGAGCAGCTGATGTACATTTTTGATTACAAAGCAATATGCTTGAATGACATAAATACATGTCTATGTTTGCTAAGTGACTTGTGCAACAAATAACCTGAGGTTTCTTAGTTTAATCATATCAGCCATGCTGTTTGAGTTTGTCTTCAGCCAGACAGGCAAAATTAAAAAAAACAATTTGCTCATATCAACACAACATATATTTGTTTCACTAAACTCATAATCCCACACAATGACTGCATTTACATAGAAAAAGCCATGTGAGCAACCAGATGTTAATCAGGAGAAAGAAACAAAATTAAATAGATTTTCTTGGATAAATCTTGATTTATCAAAAAACTAAAAGCAAAGGCGTAAAACGTTTTTACTTATTTTGTTTGTTTTGTTCATTATTTTGATATTACCCCATCACCTCTTGAAATTGGATTTTACCCTTAATAACACAACTTCAAAATAAGAAGGCACTGAACTTTAAGAATTTTATTGTGTTCACTTGATATGTGTTGTTTACATTGATGAGACATTTGTTTCCATTTTGCACAGTTTCATATCAACAGTAAAGTACAGGAGGCTTGACTTAGGGAACTGTTTGAAATTGTTTCATTCCAACCTAACTTGTATGATCTTTGTTCTATTAATATCAGCTACAATTGTTCTTCAGACTGTTAAGCTATTTTTGCTTGTGACACTGTTTCTTCATATGGAAATTGTTTAATAATTAGAATAATGTCCATGGAAGCTTAAAATACTATAAGGCAGATTTAAATCAGGGCAACCCTGAATTTTTGGCCAAACTGAGGTGTGACCTGATGGTGTTGGATTTACAAGGCACCACAAAGATGTTGAGTTGGATTTAGGTCAGGTGTGTTTGGGCTCCAGGAACTGTCTGGATACTCTTGCCACATGAGGCCTGGCAATTTCGCACACCAGGAGAAACCCAGGATCCTATGCACCAGTGTACATTCTTCAACTGATACCTCGTGGTCGTCTGGTAGAGGTCAGAGTACCACCAGTGGATTTACCTCCCCAGTCCACGACCTACCAACTACCAGTCACTGTCATGCTCTGCAGACCTTTTCAATGTGAAAAGCGCTCACTGGTTCTGGCCTGTCAGTTCTAGTATTATATGGAAAACTGAGCTTTGTAATTCTGGATGTCAGAGTATCAGGAAGTCTGTTTCTGATTGTTTGCTGGAGCTTATTTTGGTGCTGATGTTTTTCTTTCTTGCACTAATTAGCAGACACCAGTCCTTCAAAAGGGTAAAGGATTAGAGAGGCCTGCCCATCTCTGTAATGACTAGACCAAGAGTCTCCAACCCTAGTCCTCAAAAGCTACTATCCTCAAGGATTTGGATGTATCAATTCTCCACACACCTGAATAAAATGAATAACTCATTACCAGGCCTTTGCCGAACTCGATTACCACTCTGAAGAGGTAATACAATCATTTGTTTCAAGTGAGATCTATCTAAAACCTGCAGGACAGCAGCTTTCAAAGACTAGGACCGGCCATTCCTGTGCTCATTGGCTGTTTCCTGGAATCAGCTCCATGCTTTTGAGACACAACAAACCTTTTGCGCCACGGTGGGTGAGTTTCAACCGCTGCATGGTCCAGTTATTACTTTATTCAACCAGGAGCACAGCAACACTGTTTTTACATTTGGTTTTGACACATTGGAATGCTTAACCAATCCAATGAAATACCAATAAGTTCCTGCACTATTTGACATGTAATATTCTGGTTAAAATGGATTAAGATTAGGATTTGGATTTCTATTTTTTAGGTAGGGGTAGGAATGGAAAACGGATGAACATATGTACTTCCATTCTGACCCCAGATTGAATTTCCTTCTTCTGGTTTTACAGTTTACATTTACTGTTGCAGAAAAACAAGTTAGCAGCGCTGCCCAAAGTCGGTCCTGGGTGGGCCGGCATCCTGCATGTTTTAGTTCTCCCCCTGGTTTAACTCACCTGGATCAAATGATGGCTCATTAAGGAGACCATTGACATGCTGAACAGGTTAAAAGGTTATCACTGGCAGGGAGAAAACTAAAACCAACCATCGAGGACTAAATTTGGGCACCACTGCTCTAATGGATTAAAGGTTTTTTTTTGTTTTTTTTTTTCAAATTTATGCAAAAATCATTGATTGCAAATGTCTGAGAAAGTATGTTTTTTTTTTTACATGCAAAGGGTGGAGGAATTGTTTTTTTTTTTTTTTACATGCAAAGGGTGGAGGAATTGTTTTGTTTATGTAAAACAAGCTGCAAGTTTTATGTTATTTCCAGGTTAACAACCTGGTAATTGGAAATCATGCAACTGTTTTATGTTGCTCAAAAATACCTGGAAAAACAACAGATGCCCCCAAATTAAGCATTACATTTGCATTCATGTCCTCATAAATAAGTACCATTCTTGACACTCATATTGTCTTGATGCAATTGAGCGGTTAGATGAAAATTCTACTTTACTTTGTACTTTCCTGTCAGTTTCAAATCACTCAAAGTTTCCATTGTAGAATAAATGGCGACTGCAGGGAAGGTGTGTTTCACCCATAGAGAACTTTCATTCAGGAGGAAAAGTTTTGTTTGAAGTCCTTGAAAGACAGCAGGTCTCAGACTGAAACTAAACTTGAAGCTGATGTTTTGTGTTTTCTTTTACCTGATGAAGAGAGCCGTCTCTTATCTATTTACACGGAGGACCTAAATGTGAAACAACCCTTGTTAACCCCATCGCTGACTGATCTTAGAGCTAACCTCTATACTGTAATCAGTCCATGTGTGTTGTTTGAAGCTGTGGTATGTATGAGTCAGATTTGACTACTTTGTCACGTGTTTGCCTGTCTGCTGTTCAAGTATTAATTAATTGTGTAAAATTTTTTTGTTTATGTGTTTTCTTTTTGGGTTCTGTTTACTGTTACAGGATGTACATAATGAACATGTGCAGTGCACAAAAATAAACAGTAAACAGAGTGAAACATTTGTTTTGCTCGTTTTTTCCCCCCTGATTGCAATTCTCATTTTTAAACGCAAGATGGCAGCAGAAGCGACTCAAACTGTTCTTTGTGCTGTGCTTTGTACCTCCGAGTGTAAATTACTCTAAAAATATGTATATATTGAAATGGATAAAAATCACAGAAAAATAATAATAAAAAAATTTAATCCAGATCCTGTATGCAAGTAATTTATTTAAAACAAAGCAATACAGCAGCCATAAAAATGGCAAACATATTTTATCATATTCATATGTATTTTTTTTAAACATAAATTTGTATGTCACTTCATAAACATATATTTGATAAAAATAAGACATGATGGATTTAAGCTTTGCAACATGCTAGAAACATATGTTTGTATTATGGAACTAATATTTATAGGGCACTTTATCTACTTGAAATTAAAAGTTAATGCACAGTGCAGATACTGCTGGTAAACTAAACCGACCTGCTGCATTTCAGTTCTGCTGTTTACCTTTTGTGAGTCATATGATGAATAACAGGTGGAAAAGTTTCTCCTTGGGGCATCACATCTTGGAGAAACAGTATTTTGGTGCTGCCGTCTTAATTGGGTATAATTGGAAAATGACTGCATCGTTGTAAAACAGGATCAGTGCTGCACAGCTCATTTCAGTTTTTCCTTCTTTCTTTTCCATCCTACTCTCTCCTGGCAGCGCTGACTCATTACTTGTGCTTGGGCAAGAGCTTAAGGATGTTAACCATTAGCAAAAGCTGATATTTTTTGTCTTGCATCCCAAAAGATATGAGGGTAATACTGATATACAAGAATTTAAATGTCCTTTGTTTCCTCCACAGTCATTAGGTGATATGCAATACGCAGTTACACTTCCACAATACCATGCATACTGAAAATGTTTGTCTGAATATTTAAGTAGTGATCAGTACTATTCATTAAACTACAATCAAGTATGAAACCATAAAGTATGCAACACCAAATTCTAAAGGGTTGCTTGGACGCAGAATTAGGGAGTTTACAATATTTTAGGTGCCTTGCATTGCTTCTCTGAATACTTAATAACACACTGAGCGATAAAGACCTATAAGTGATTGGGTGTTTTCCGTTTTTGTGTGTTATCCTAACGTATTTCAGACCTAGAAATTAGTAAAAGTGACCAAAGAAGTCATTTCTTCTCCATTTATGCAAAGTACAGGAAAAAAATTAGGGGATTGTTCTAGCTAGTTTGATTTTTAGTTTGTGTGGGAAAAGCATATCAACATTTAAATGTTTGTGTTTCACACATCTGATAAGCGTGTATCTGACAAACAATGTTACTCTCTGATTTTATTTTATTTTTTTTCCCATAAGACAGAAAGGTTACAGCTTGTAGACAACATTTACTGTTGCAGCTCTCTCAGCTGGAAAATGTTCAAATCTCAAGAGATGCTTCTGCTTCGGTCTAGGAACTCATTAGGAGCCCAGAAAAAAAAAATTCACATGGCGTCTTGACTGAATAGTCATTAAAATAAATACCTGCAGATTTTTAATGAAAAGGTTTTGGTCCATTAGACATAATTGTAGGATGTAGATTCAAAGTCTATCACCTTGATAATGAATGTTGACATTTGTAAATGCGTGTTGAACAGAAATGGAAAGAACATCGATAAACATGTTGCTATATTATCTGTCATGGGGGTGGGGGGCGACTCTGGCTGGAGTTTGAAACCCAAGACCTGAGAATGTTATTTTTAGCCATCCAGGTTCGAAGCTGTTTCTGGAAATGGTCTGTTTTTCTTGTCAGTTTGCATTCATAGAAAATTCTTGACCAGGACATGAGGAAATAAATGCATACATTTTTAAAAAGCATCCCACAAGGAGTGTATTTTAAGAATGGAGATAAAACTTTGCCAAAAAGAATCTGTATTTAGTCTTTAACTTCTTCAAACACCATATGAGAACGGTGTTGTTCTCAAAATTTGCCTTGTCAATATTTTAAGTGGTCAAGTTGAAACTCTTTGGCTTCTTTCCGTTCTTTATGACTTTGTGTTTAATGACCCATAAGTCAATTTATTTCTGTTGATTAAAATGCAGATGTCACTATTAAGGTTAATCTACTGATTTTATTCCCATTTGTAAATATTCATTTGAGGGTTTTGGAAGAACAACTGCTAAATCAAATTAGTCAACTTTTGAAATGTTCATGTTTGGTGCATTAAAAAGCTGCATGTGCACATTGTTATACAGTTGTGCATACATACATATGTGGAACCACGCAAACTCCAGACCTGGATTCAAACTCAGGACCTTCCTGCTGTAAGTAAACAGTGCAGCCCACAATACATCCATTAAACATCAGACATAGCTAATTCATTATGAAAATGAATAATAATATGGAACCTTTAAAGGTGCATTTGAACTATTCTGTGTTGAATAGAATAGCAAAGTTTCAACAAATTTTTAAAACAATAGATTAATCTAAAATAGATAATTGTTTTTGGAATGGACAAATCATAGCCTTCCTAAAACCACAACCCTAAGCCCTTTGAAAATTTGTGGACTTCTTTTGAAGTTCTGTGGCTGGAAACCAGTTTATTTAAATTTGCTCTATAAAGTCTAAAACAGTAGTCAAATATCCAAAAGGGACCTTGAAATTCAAAGTGGTGCGTGCCATCTAAACCAGTTAACCACCTCTAGGGAATTTTGTTAAAAATTTATCCCCAATCTGTCTCAGTTTTTTTCAGAGAACCCAATAGATGCTTGTTTTTGAATGGGCAGATAAAACTGTCTCCTGTTAAGCTCAATTTATAATAGCCGCCTTGTTTAATTGAATCTGACTAATATTTTCTACTCTGAAAGGTTCAAATTTTCCTCACTACAAGCATTCACTTGTTCAGAAATTGCAACATGTTTCTGATGACTCAATAAAAATGTGTGGCTGGGAAATGTGTGTGTGTGTGTGTGTGTGTGTGTGTGTGTGTGTGTGTGTGTGTGGTGTGTGTGTGTGTGTGTGTGTGTGTGTGTGTGTGTGTGTGTGTGTGTGTGTGGTGTGTGTGTGTGTGGTGTGTGTGTGTGCGTGTGTGTCTGTTTGCAGGAATGTGCAGTTTGCATTCCAAAGAAAATAGATGTTTCAACAGAAGTGTGCAGTTTTCTCAGAATCAGAACTGTTTTTATTTCTGACTTCCTCTCACTGCTTTGATAAGGAGTAACGTGTGACAGAACATGTGCGCTCTGTCTATGCGAGGGCACCATCCTAAAACAATCCCTGCGATGTTCAGGAAGTTGCTGTTTTCTAACACCTTACTCAGCAGTTTGCATGTTCTGAAGAGAGTTATGAGGTTGCTCTGTTGCACGTATTGCACTTCTAAGTATAATGAACCATTGACATTCAATCAAATTTTAAAAACTTGTTCTAATGAAGCATGTTATTACAGATTATGTCACTGTGGTCCAGATTTCAGGAACAAACCTCTTGCCCCTCTTTTGGTTTTGGTACCTTACTGGTAGTTTAAAAATAGCTCGTTCCTTTTTGCCGTTGCTGCCTCGTACTCATGGATTGAAAACAGCTGCACCTCTTATGAGTGACAGAAAACAATGGAACTATAATAATCCCTTTACCAATGACACAACGCTGTTTTAAAACAGCAGACTGTTGTTGGGGCTTGTAGCTTTTTGCCCTGCTGGTTATTTCTTGGGGTCAATCTAATTATGAAAGTACAGGCTACTGTAACGATGAGTGACTTTCTGGAAAGTCTGATGGACAATAACCTTTCATGCCTTCAGTGCTTATTAGTCCCTAAATAGCTAGATAATCCATGAAAATATAGAAATTTTAAAACAAAATCATGTTAACTCATTGTATTAGGAAATATTTATTTGTTTGAAACAAAAATATTGGTACCACATTAATTTCCACCCCTGAAATTGTAGATCAGGTTGTAACTGAACCTTTTTGAAGTCTTTACTTTTAAGGGTGATGGGAATGTTTAGGAACTTTTGATTTATAATCCAGCCGAGCTGACCAAAGTGCTGGAAACCACAACCATAACATAAAAAAGCAAACACTACAAATACAATGGCAATAACTGTAAAAGCCAACTCTTCAGACTGAGTTAAAAGCCATTGAGAAGGAATAAGCTTAATGCAAATACTTAAAATCATGAAGAGACTGAATTCATTTGATATGAAAAGGTAGACCATTCCACAGCTTTGGGGAAGCAACTGAGAGGGAGCATTTCATTTTCAGGACAACTAACAACAACTGATCTGCTGACTAAGAGCGAGTTGGGGAACATAAGGCTAAAGCAGGTCAGACAGATACCAGGGGGAAAGGTCATGAAAACAAACAGAAGGATTTTAAAATCTATTCTAAAACGTACTGGAAGCTAGAGAGGTCCTGCTAATACAGAAGCAATATTCTCTTGCCTGTTAGAACAGGCTCAACCCAAGCAGGAGCATTTAAAACCAACTGGAATCAATAAAGTACCCTGTGACTGAGGCGACTAACTTAAAATGCAATACAGTAATCTAAACACTTTGTATTAACATTTTAAAGTGGTGCAAAGAAAAAAAGGCTTTATTACCTGTGTATCACTGATATAGTGAGTCCAGGTCAACAAGAGGTTTTGAACTGTCACTCGGCCCAAACAACAGAGCCTCAGTTTTCGTCATGTTTCCTGGTAGTTTTTTTTTTATGTAGAAACTGAGAAATTTAATTTCAAAAATAATTTTGGGATTTTGGGGTTCTGGTATCTGTGACATCTGGGAAGGAGAGGACGGATTAGAACAGCAAAACAGGTGTTTAGTTAATTCTTTGTAATGATGAAGGAAAGTTGGCTCTCGCTTCCAGGAATGGAAGCAGACGCTGAGGAGGGTAGATGATCCAGGAAGTGCTTGGCAGACAGTGGAGTTTGACGAGGATTATTGTTCTAGGAGGATTCTGAGACCCAGATGGTGTTGGGCAGAGGGTGTTGGAGTACACGCAGGCAGATGACAGCCAAAGACAAAGAACAGTTGTGGAGACCGTGGAATGAACAAACATCGGACGATGACTGACTCAAAGGTTTCTGGAGGAAAAATCTGGAGTTTGGTGAGCGAACACAGCGACGACTTCACCCTGGATGGTACAAAGTGAACAAGGAGTGAGTCAAAGAAAGGTAACACTTTCAGACTTAATAAATAACTTTCTTTAAAATACTCGAGGTTAACCTCTACCAGAAAGGTTTGCCGTCAGATAATGACAGGTCTTTAAATCCCTTGCAGTCGAGTGAGATAACTCAAACAAAACAGATACACACACTAAGATTCTGACTGCTTTGATCAGAAAACTCTTATGTTTGACCTGTTCTGCAACAAACACTTCTTCCACAAAACAAAGTATTAAACTTTAGCAAAAACATCTCCTGCAGACTGTTCAGCATTGAGGAAGGTCTGTTTCTCTTCCAGAAACTTTTTGAAAAAGAGGGCTTGGTATCATTTACTTTCTAAAATACAACAAACTAAAACATATACCAAAGCTACTTAGACATGAATCACCAGACTCAACATCACAGATCTTCTGAAATTTCTAGTGGTGGAAAATTAAATTACTTTTCTTTTGAAAATGAAATTTCAAAATGAAATTACTTCCCGGGTAACAAACCCATTGACAAACTGTGAAAATATTAGTAAATAGCTGTCTCTGCATTGGATGAGTACTTCTTGAAGTTAAATAACAGAAAAACAAATCAAACTGTTTGATTTGATTGATAAAATCATTTTTCAGCACACATTCTTTTTTGAAGGTGTGCTTTTAGTCTCTAGAGCAGGGGTGGGCAACTCCAGGCCTTGAGGGCCGGTCTCCTGCAACTTTTAGATATATCTCTATTTCCTAATAATGAAGTCAATAGTAGGACTCAGTCACATGCAAAGATTTGGCCCCAGGACATGAGTTTTAAAACATGGTTTAGAATAACATCCTCAAATGTTTGGTGGAAAAGAATCAAATTCCCTGACAGCAGGTAACTGAATAGGGAAGATCCTATCGGAAAATAGCTGAGATTCCTGCACACTAAGAAAAATAACCAAAAAAAAAAACTCCATAGCAGGAGGCAGGATAATAGATTCTGGACACGTTACCATGCAGATCTCTGGAAGAGAACTGAAAAGTAGCTTTACAGACCATGAATCATACAACTGGAGTCAATTACTGTATAACACATACATTCTCTGGTAGTGATATCACTATTTCTTCATTTGGGTGGGACTCATTGAAGGTCTTTTGCTGTAATAGGCTCTATCACTGAAAATGCTAAAGCAATATGTTTAAATGTAGATGTGAGAAAGCATTATTTAATTTAATGCAAAGATCATTCATAAGAAACAGAAGGATTTTATTACTTAGATTCTGTCAGAAATCCTGCTGATAATAATAAAGGTGAGTTATATTCAGGCAATTTGTCTGTTCTGACTCAGTGTGAATCAATTAGAGTTCTACTCGAAATGACCTGGCATCACAATTCACAGGGAGATTTTACTGGAGAGGGCTGAAAAAATAACAGGGTCAGGTATCACTTTTAACATGAGCATTGTGATTGATATAGAGAGGAAACTCTGAATGGGACACTACCGGAAAGCTCGTCCAGATCCAGAATATGTCTCCATAAAACCCCCTTCGTGTGCCCATACCATCAGCATGGGCACAGAGTGACACGTGACTGTCACCCAGTAAAATCTGATATCTGTGCCATCCGAAATGGCCACGCATAGTAAACAGATGCCATGTGTGTGGTGAGTATTCTGACACCAAATCAAAAATAGACCCTGATGCCCAGAGACACATAAACTGCTCCTCGTTGGTCTCTTCAATATAATCATGACAGGTGTGGGGCTTCAAACACTGAAGATGGGATCTGGAAGGAAACTTGCTCGTTCACAAAATACCGCAACAGTCCTGCTGCAGACAACAGAAGGTTAGTGACTTTCACACAGGATTTTCAATGCATGTCTGATATTTAAGTTGTCTTCAGAGTCACAGGAGTTCATACTGTGTTTATAGCTTAGTGACTGAACAGATTTTAAACAGTGAACCTTCTGTTTCACCAGTAGGTTAAAAGTAATATCACTGTTATTACAAAGTAGAGAAAGTGATGAAAAATATGTCACATTCTTTAGATGTTTAGGTTTTAGCTTAAGTTTAGTTTTGATCATTAATTTATTGACAGTATGTTTTCGCCATTTCCTTCAGGACAAGTTTGGTGGTTTGTTCTACTGTTCTGCTTCCTATATATTTGGAAAAAGTTAAAAGTTATAAGAAAAGTTAAGAAAGTTCGTTGGGTATGCCTACTTCTCTGTGGTGCTGCAAATACTCTCCAAGGTAGACATGATACTTTCTTTTTGTTTTTGGTATTCATGTCAAATTCCTCCTCAATCAAACCTCGCAAAGGCAGCACAGTTTTTTGTTTTAACTCTCCTCCTCCTCAGTCTCTCAGCCTCTTCTCTCTCTGTTCGTTTCTGCCTTCTCTATTTCTCGGTAACTTGCTCAAACTTTCAGCTGTGGAAAAATTTCTCTTCAGTTCTTTGCCTCCACCTTGTTGATTTGGGCACATGAAGGACACAGAAACAGAAACTTGATGAGTTCATCATGGATCTTTTTCAACTGATTCTTTTGTCCACACATTTTCTAGACAAGACACTCATAAAGACCGGGAACTGAAACAACAGTTCTGTCATTTTGTCAGGCTTATTGTGGCATTTTAAGCAGCTGCAGCAGCTCACAGATATTTTCAGAATTGGACATATACTTTCTATTGTCTCAATTGCTTTTGTCTGAGTTTGATGATTCATTGTTTTTTTTTTTAAGTTATTATTATTTTGCATTGAGACAGCTTTCATTTTTAGATGTAATTATGTACGGCTCTGTCATACATAGGTATTTCCAAAGACAACAGAACTCTTTTTAGATGAGACTGCAGCAGAAAGAACTTTACTTTGAGTTACATTGTTCCTTCTGGCACTCAAGAGACTTTGAGTTTTTACTTCAAGTGGCAAAGCAAACAGCTTTTATTAATCTTTATTGTATTAGTTTACATTGAACATGCTGTGTATGTCATAAGATTATAGTCACAGGTTTTAATGAGGGCTTAGTTAAATTTTCATTTGGCAGATGGGTTTCAACCATTAGCATAGTCCTCTAAAATACAAACGCTTAAAAGCACAAAAAATAGTAAATAGTAATTACAGCTGAAATGAAACCAGAAGTTTACAAGCATTTCACAAAACGAAAAAAAAAAAAGATTCTTGCTGTCTGATATTAGATCAGATTAAACATTTCTTGTTTTTAGTCAGTTCGGCTGCCCACATTAAATTATGTCTATTTACTATAGAACAGAATAATGACAGATTGAGTTTTTCCAAAATTTCCAATTTACCAAAAGCTGTTCACTACAGTTTTCTGGAATCTTAACTCACGTTCTCCTGGCAGAACTGAGTCAGGTTTGTTGGCCCATACACACCTTGTTGGCCCATAAAACCAAGAACAAAAAAAAAAAAAAGTCCTTTCTTATTGTAACCATAAAAAAGTTTTAGTTTTGTGCGTTTCAGGGGGGAAATCACCAGCACAAGGCTGTTGAATCATCCATAATCAGAGGTGTGTTATTGGTTGCAGAAAAGTACACTTAGCTGTCTCTCCAAATGGCACTCCGGGTCCGCCCACATTCTTAAAATTACTTTGAGATTAGGTGCTATATATGTCAGTTCCAGACCATGGAAACCTGTAATAAAGCCACTTTCACCAGATTGAGTGGCATTCCCACATGTATGAGCAAATTTTTGTGGTTCAGTAAAACAAGAACACTGTGGCTACTAACTATAGGGTCATTTTTTTATTGCTTCTGGTTATCCTTGTTGGGTTTCTTGGGCTTAGCTGATTGTTTTATTGGATTGGTCTCTTGCTCTCATTTCTTCTCTTCACATTTTGAAGCTAAACTTATGATGCAGTAGTGTGATTTTGATCATGAGTTTATTTAGTATTATTTTATGACGTATATGTTCGCATTTTTATATTAGGGATTTTATGATTATTTATGAAGGGTTATTGATCAAACATGAATGTTTTGTGTTGACGTGTCCTTTTAAATTTGTAAGTTTTTATTTTATTTTATTTTCTGTTATGAGTTATCAGCTTCATCCTACATATACTGAATATCATAAATATCTAACCTAACTTTTTTTTTTCTGTTTGCTCAAAAAACTTAATTCCTTTAAGTAATTCGTTTCAATAAGTGTTCTGGGAAGAAAGGCTGAATTCAATTTACAATTTTGGGAAAATTGGAGTTCTGGCAGAAAAGAAAGAAATCACCATTTTGTTTCCTCTTTATTTTTCTGCTATCATTGCTTTCTGTTTTATTGTTCTGTGTTTTGTCAATTCTTTTCAAATAGTTCCTGTTCCTCTCATTCTAAATCATCCGCTCTCTTCCTATTAATGCATTTGTTTTTCTTGTGTAGTTTGTCTTTCCTTTGCCTTATTTTTGATACGTCACATAGTCTATTCCAGGAACACACAATTACCTGCTTAGATGATCAAGCAGGTAAAAATCACAGCTAAACTGATGGATTATAAAATAACTAAAGATTACCTATTGCTTAAGGCTGAAACAATTTATGGTTACAGCAGATTTTATTCTAAGAAGGAAATGAAATGAAATATAAGGCAAAAGTACATTTTAATAATGCAGAGTTTGCATGAAAGTCAAACTTCCCAGAAGCCAAACAGGTGATGGACTCTAAACTGTAGATAGAACACATGAAAGTGGGGATGACTCAAGCACTGAGTCACTTTTGCAACAGTAAAGGCAGAGAATAAATCCTAAAAATCAAGAATGACTTTTTTTGGGTTGGGAACAATTGTTATATAGATGACACTGAAACCTATTTCACCTGCTCAATGGGTCCCAAACTGGCAGTTTTCAACCTGCTGTGAAGATGCTGGAAGACATTAAAGTTCAGATGACTCCAACCAGAACCACCCGTGTGTGTGTGTGTTTGTGTGTGTATAATATCCCTTGCTGCCTGGAGAATGCAAGCTGCGGGACACAGAAGCAAAAGTATATCAACCAAAAACAGTTTCATAATTACAGAGCTGGTACATTTACAGTGAAAACCAGAGGTTTACATCCACTGGGAAAAGACATTCATTTTTTCACAATGTCCGATGTGAAATCAGAATAAACTTTTCATGTTATACCAACACATTTTCTCTTTTCTGACTGCCAGAATAATGACAGGGATCATTTTTTAAAATAATTTTTATTACTTTCTCCAAAGTCAAGAGTTTAACTGCACCTCATTAGTATTTGGTATCATTGCCCTTAAGTTGTATGACTTGGATGAAATGTTTTGGGTTTCCTTTCATAAGCTTCTCACAATAGTTGGCAGGAATTTAGGCCCATTCATCCTGACAGAACTGGTATATCTGAGCAATGTTTGCAGTCCCCTCAGTGTTCGGTAGGATTGAGGTCAGTTTTGTGATGGCCACTCCAAAACACTGACTTTGCTATACTTCCTGGTTGATACCTTGAGATGTTGCGGATGTAAACAGTTTAATGAGGGAGCATTGTTATGATGGCGTGCAGAAGGCGGAGTTTTGGAAAAAGTAGGAGTTTCATAATTTTAAAGTCTAAATTGGGAAGTCAATTTTCTTCTAGGGATATATACAGCATTTTATAAAAATTGAAGTTAAGAAAAGTACTTCATTGTGTTATAAAATGGTTCTGGAGCACTGGGGTAAGATGAGCCATTTTTCATATTTAGGATAATTACATAAAGGCAGTCTTAGTTTGGTCACTAACTTATATACCTGCATATATTTCTGGATATTGTGTATCCCTTCAGTCACAATGAGTCTAAGCACAACTACTAGCACTAATGGCACAACTCACCCTGTGTATGGGGTTAGCTGAGTTTAGGTGTGGGCCTAATACCTGAAAACATACCCATGCACACGCACACACTCCATCCTCCATCCAACTCGACCCCACCCCTCTCTTGATCTTCTCCTTCCCTAAATAAGTCACTTTTAAGTGCATTCTTATTCTGGCGGTTTAAGTGCATTCTTTTTTATTTACACAATTCATTGGGTACAATACATTTTTTTATTGTTGCAAATTACTGCTAAACAGGTGTTTGGTTTAAAAGAAAACAAGATGTTTTTAGAGGGCTTGGAAGCCAACATTAACATTTGTAAAGAAAGTGCTAGAACTTAATACTTATTCCAGAATCATAGTTTATTCCTTCATATGTTTGGGAAGTTAAGACTCCTTGGTATCTGAGAAAATCTTGCTAGCTTCTGCTTGCTCATCATAGCCTGTCTTTTTCAAAAGTACATTTTCTGTTCTGAGAAATGTCATTCTGTCTAAATTTTCATTCTCTGCTGCTGCTACATCTATCTGTTGCTTTTTATCATCTACTTTTTCTGCACTCTTGTATACGAGACTCTGCAATGAAATACACATCCATCCAATGCAATGAAATACTATTGAAAAGCCCGTTTATTTTAAAGTGAAACATATTATATAGATTATACGGAGATGGATGTTTGAAAGCCTTTATTTCTGTTAATTCTGAAGATTTTATATTTAGTTACTGAAAAACATGACATTTAAAATTTGAAAAATACTCCAAACCAGCAACAAAATAAAACTATTTTTAAATGTATATTTAATACCTGTTTAATACTATGTTTACAAAAAATACTTTTGATCTGACAAACAAGTCTTATTGGGTTATATATTTTAATTTATTGAATATGAATGTCAATGTAGAAACTTGATTTAAGATATGTACCTTGCAGCCAACATACATGTATTAAGTATCATTTCAACTTTATTTGTGCCCACACACAAAATGCTACACTTTTAATTTTAGTGTATGATCTCATGTTATAACTCACAAATGTCACAATTGATATGGAGAA